ATGATTGTATCCCTACTGGATAAACCCGGCAAATGACAGGGACGTCATTTGTGTGGAGGGGGAAGTATGTGGCAGAGTAATATTTTGTACATACAAGTTAGGTTTTAATTCTATTTTAGCTATAGTTTTATACACATTCTATTTCATATTTGAATTAAGTAGTACAGAGTTTATTTACCTGTCTTACTTTTGCCATATAATTGTATTTCAGTTTAAACATTAATACCACAGCTTATCTGTTTCATTCAGTCTATTATTTATCCAGCCTTGACTAACCATACCACTGCATGCTTTTCACCCACAGCACTTAGTATCCCGTCCCGCGCATAGAGTACTCTATTGTTCTCTGTGGTCACTCACAGCTGACCACAGGTATACCTTTGTTTGCTTGTGATCTGAGGCAGTTGCCAGATTACACTTGACATATGTACTCCATAGTCATTTTGTATATATTTTGAATGGATCTTGTATTCATGGATCGAATAGATGTGATTATTTCATGGATTTGAAGGTTAGTCATAGTATATTTCTTGTATGATACTTTATATGTATTTGTGTATTTCTAATTCTTAAAGTTAGAAATAAGTTGTGCTTGGTTCATTGCTAATCAGGTTGTGTATTGAATCCACAGTTAGTGTATTCTGATCATGATTATTTTATATGATAAAGTATTATAAAGCAGTTTCTTTAATTGATAAATAGCTAATATATCCTAGGCTATTATCATTTTAACTTGAACATTAACTAAATAAAACTAAACCCTAAATAAACTGTAGTAATTCTATACCTCATATCACATTAAGGTAATTGTGTTAATTGTGTATAAGAATGTATGCGTATGTGTGAAAGTGCATTATTTAAGTAATTTGATCAATCCTTATTTTAAATACCTATTTTACTTACGTGTTGTGTATAATTAAAGTGTAAATAGTATCTGCATTAGTTTATACCTTGTCAATGCAGATGTAACTGGCACTATCTTAGAAGCTTTGGTGACACGGCACAGGTTTCACCAGTCTGGTATGTATTGTTTATGTGTTACTCATGAATGTATAAATGTATGTATCTATATATATGCTGACGTATATCTTTGTAATTATCATGTAGTATTGTACTTGTCTAGTGTTATGACAGTAGACAGGGTTTATGTTTAGTTTAAACTGATTTTAGAGTCATAAGCAGATATAATATATATATCATTGTACAGGTTACTTCCTACATGAGTAACATTGGTTTCTTGCTATTTGAATGTCCCTTAGATGTAAGGCCATTATGTATATTATATCAATGTCAATGTTCTATGTCTTGTATGCAGTATGTATTATTATTTATACATTGTTGCAGGCCGTATTTATTCACCATTCTCTTCTAAGAGAATAAACAGCCATCAGCTCACACCCTGTAGCCGTTTGTTGTGTTTACCACCCCGACAACTACCGCTACTACAGACGCGACGTTAAACCCCATTTCACCTCACAACCAGTTGGTTGTATAAACAGACAACATTAGTGTTCGTGACAAACATTCCGCTGTTCACCTGAATCTCCCAGTGTGTCGTGTCAGTTTCAGCCACGTGAATTTCGTGCAGCACGTGCACTACAGTCGCTCCGACTCACGGCGGACGAGAAGCCTATGTTGTAGCGGCCTTGGCCTGGTTATAAGACTTAAACTGACTGTAGACAGGTGCTTCAGTCTGAGGTGGGTAAAACTGCCAAAAGCAACACACATATAGGTTGTCGGGGGCAACGGTGTGTCAAATTTCCAATATGATTGCGTCGCTATATGGCCGATTTTTGTTTGTTTGTTGTTTAACCCCGCACTCAGCACTGAATCAGCTATATAGGTAATTTTGTGTAAAACTACGTCGGTTCAATGTAAACTGGAGTAAGAAATGAATGTGACCAATATGACCCAATATGACCCCAATCCTACCAAGTTTGAAATGTAAATGTTGTTCCGAAAATATAAAATTTATGGATTTTCAAAGATGTCGAAGATGCCCATGGGCAGATGTGTATTGTGGGGTAAAGAAGTGTTAAGTAACAGCTTTAAATCAAATCATATTTTAAAATATTAAAGCATGTAGAAGTATTCTTTGTGTGCTGACTAAGCACCCTTACAGTTTATTTCTTATGTAATATAGCTAACTTAAGATATTTTCAACCGGAAATCAACATGGTACAATCAACTGAGAGGTAAAGTTTCTCAGTTTAGCAGAGAAAACTTGTCATGAACAACCGATTGCCTACTGAATGCAGGATCGCTGATTTGGTTGATGCGTGTCATCGTGTCCCAATTTCGTGGACCGATACTCATGATATCGATCACTGGGTTGTCTGGTCCGATTATTTACAGACCGCCGTCATATAGTTGGAATATTTCTCAGTGCGGCGTTTAACAAAACAAATATGACAAACATGACTTTGTGAATGAACTGTTATCGAAAGACACAACTTTGTACAGTATAAATAGTAGAACTATTAAATGTATGTGTTCTGTTCTTGTGTCTGTAGGGGCGGGTGGTTAAAGCGTTCGCTCGTCACGCCGAAGACCCGGGTTCGATTCCCGACATGGGTACATTGTGTGAAGCCCATTTCTGGTGCCCCCCGCCGTGATATTGCTGGAATATTGCTAAAAGCGGCGTAAAAACCATACTCACTCAATACAAAACGCTAGCCTCACTATCATGCAAACCCTCCCCTCACTACTAAATACCCGTCGCCTCAGGCTTGGGTGTAGTGAGTTGAACGCTGACAAGGTTCATAGACATATATTGAAACACTGTTCCTGGAAGTTCTTCACATGTTGATATGGAAACACTGTTCCTGGAAGTTCTTCACATGTTGATATGGAAACACTGTTCCTGGAAGTTCTTCACATATTGATATGGAAACACTGTCCCTGGAAGTTCTTCACATATTGATATGGAAACACTGTTCCTGGAAATTCTTCGCATGTTGAGATGGAAACACTGTATCTGGAAGTTCTTCACGTGTTGATATGGAAACACTGTACCTGGAAGTTCTTCACATGTTGATATGGAAACACTGTTCCTGGAAGTTCTTCACATATTGATATGGATACAATGTCCCTGGAAGTTCTTATCACATGTTGATATGGAAACATGGTACCTGGAAGTTCTTCCCATGTTGATATGGAAACACTGTATCTTGAAATTCTTCACATATCGATATGGAAACAATGTTCCTGGAAGTTCTTCACATGTTGATATGGTAACACGGTATCTGGAAGTTCTTCACATGTTGATATGGAAACAATGTACCTGGAAGTTCTTCACATGTTGATTTGGAAACACGGTACCTGGAAGTTCTTCACATGTTGATATGGAAACAATGTTCCTGGAAGTTCGTCACATGTTGATATGGAAACACTGTTCCTGGAAGTTCTTCACATGTTGATATGGTAACCCGGTATCTGGAAGTTCTTCACATGTTGATATGGAAACAATGTACCTGGAAGTTCTTCACATGTTGATTTGGAAACACGGTACCTGAAAGTTCTTCACATGTTGATAAGGTAACAATGTTCCTGGAAGTTCTTCACGTGTTGATTTGGAAACACGGTACCTGGAAGTTCTTCACATGTTGATATGGTAACAATGTTCCTGGAAGTTCTTCACACTTCTATATGGAAACACTGTTCCTGGACATTCTTCACATGCTGATATGGTAACAGTGTTCCTGGAAGTTCTTCATATGTGGATAATAGTACAAAGATCAAGCCATAATAAAATGTGTTTATATTCTATCCAAAAGAAGAACCAGGCTGATTGTTCAATAAAAGCGACAGAGAGAAACTCTTCACGAAGCAGACCATTATAAGAATTCGACTTTGTCATGAGAATAGGTTAACAAATTACTTACTTAAAATACATACTGTCCTTTGAATTGAAATGCTTACAGCCACAATTTTGTAGAGGACATCCTAATATATTTTCTTTTGAAACCTCTGTGTGTTAGTTAGTTTTTATATTTGTTTTTTTCTCACGGCTCACTCACTCCAGTTGTGTGATGGCGATCTGAAAACAATCGAGCCTCAACCAGACAAACCAGTGACTGAGCAACGCCTCACATCGTAAGGGTAAGGGTGACCTGTCAACGAACCTGACCACCCGATAAATTTTGTACACTTAATAGTTGGCAAGTGCATTATACATGCGTTATATATATTTAAGACAGGAAGGCTCGAAACCCAGGTTCGCACCACTCATGATCGTGGATCTGTCTGCACCACCTCTATGCCTGTGACCTTCCCCCTACCCTGCGGCGAAACCGCGTCCATTAACTGCACCATTCTGATATTAATGCAATAATCTGATAAAAATGGTTTAATAATGGTCGATTCCTTAATTGAAACAATATGTTAACCCAGGAATGTACGTAATAGCCCTTCGTTTGAAACCAACCAACAACTGGTATACACCTAACAACTGTATTACCCAATTTAACTAGGTTTGCAAATCAATACAAATTACAATAGCAGTACACAATAAAGTGGTAGTACAATATCCAATGGCAGTATATGATATCATTGTAGTTTTCAGTATCAAATACACAAATCCAGTGGAGATAGCAAAAGTCAGTGATAATAGAATATTCACTCAACTGCGACAGTGCACGTGGTCAAACTTCCGAGATTGGGCTTGGCGGGGAATCAGGGGTGATCTTTGAAGCAAGGTTAGGGCGCAGGATTTTCAAAATGTCATTTCCTCTCCGAGGCATCAGTGAGTTCTTCCTTATATGGCAACACATTACTTTCCCTTGTTCTACTTTCGTCGAAGGTCGAACGGCTATTTGGTTCTTTTCAGAAAAAAACAAGCGTCTCTTCCTTTTGTAGTCCCGACGTCATGCAAAACTTTGTCTATTAATGGGCTATCGTGCATATGTCATGAGCGCACCCAACAGCATACGGATGTAACAACAAAAGATCGACCTTATGACCTTATGTCTATTTTTAGACTCGCATATGCAACAACACGTCCGGCCACATCTCGGTGAGGCGTCAGACAGGCAAGGGAGAGATACGTGTCAGCAATGGCACAGGTCGGAGACCAGCTCCTTGGTGAACACCCTACAGAACAAAAACTGGAACTGACTCTTGACCCTGGAGAACGATTGACTGAAGCTGTCCAACAAGACAACGAGGACGTTCCCCAGTCCCCCGAGGGAGGGTGGGGCTGGGTGTGTGTCACCGCACGGGCTGTCATGATGGGCATCGTGTTCGGCATCATGTATGGCTTCGGAGTCGTCTATGTGGAGCTGGTAGATGTGTTCGAGACCTCCAGGACCGAGGCTGCATGGGTGGGGTCTGTCGCTACCGGAGCTTTGCATTTTACAGGTAATTAACTCTTTGTATGCTGCGGCCATATTGGGAACACTTACTTTGCAAGTATATTGCTTCATTGTAACCAAATGAATGAGTGAATTAAAATTAACGTCGAATCGGTGACTGCTACGTTATAAAGGAGTGAGTGAGTGAGGTTTTACGCCGCTTTTAGCAATATTCCAGCAATATCACGACGGGGGACACCAGAAATGGGTTTCACACATTGTACCCATGTCGGGAATCGAACCCGGGTCTTCGGCGTGGCTTGGGAACGCTTTAACCACTAGACTACCCGACCGCCACCGTTATAAAGGAAGCGAGAAGATACGTGGTACAGGGGTTGAAAAATACCATTGCACGACGCCCGTGCCAAGTAAGGTTTATATGTCGGGCGAGTAATAAACGTTTTCTAGCATGCCCGTGGACAAGTAGAGCATACAAAATGAGCTCGGTCAAGTTTCACAAGAATGTAATCATGTGATCATTTTACGATATTTCATTGGCTTATATTTTGCTAGTGTCACAAAATGGCTATCTAATTTGCATTCAGTTACACCAGTCAACCAATGGCATTAATACACTACGATGTCAGGCGGTCAGCAACATGAGAACCAGGATAGGAGAATTGATAAATCATAGTAACACTTCCATATATGGCACATGCTTCTTGGAAACTGAATGATGGGCAGTTGACGACATTTCTTGGAATTTGTAATGCGAGGTAGGTCTAGTGCCGACTTTAGAAGATTCGCCCGGCCTAGCTTTGGTGAAATATTTTACAGTGATCCCTCGCTACAACGCCACCTTCGGGGTCCAAATAATTGATGAGCGTTTTAGATGATCAGCGGTTTAACGGAAGTCGAGTCGGAGGTGGTAGATGACAAACAAAACAGTATACATGCTCTGCCTACCTAACACGGTCTACGTTTAAAAAAAAGATTAGAATAGGAGTTGTTCATGATTCATAGTGTAAAAAAGATTTATCAGGTATTAATAAGCGCTTTAAAAAACACACATCGTATCCATGTTTTCTCCTAAACTAAGCCGGAAATGGCAATCAGCTGTGCACACGTTTCCTCCCAATCTTCCGGTGATTCAGTTAAAAAGTACCTAATGATACAACTTCAAAGAATGTTGATGCAATGGTCGGAAGAAATTGTATCTGGAATTATTATTTTTATCAGAAATGATATATTCATATGTCGTGTTATTTTAGTACCAGTTTCCACTATATATATATATATATATATATATACTTAAAATTATAACATTCATAAGCTTAGCACTTTGGTACAGGTGGTATGAAGGATATTTTTTTACGTATGGAACAATTTGACCAGTCACCGTAGGGACTTCTTGCGCTACATGTATTTCGATTGTGACAGCGTTATGTTGACATTGGATAGACCAACTGCCTCAAATATGACTTTTATCGAGTCAGGGTACGGCATATGTGATATGTGTGTCCTTTCTCTTGCAACTAAAGTTCGTTTCAAAACGTCAATAGCGGTAAACTGACCGTGGTTGCTGTAAATAATGAGTTGTGCGATCTACACTTCGCATACGATTTCGCCGAAATTATTGTAAACATTATTATAGTTATTGAATAAAATTTTGAATATAATTAATAAAATATATTGCAAACATTAGTCCAGATAATCAATGAACAATTTCTTTATGACCAGATTTGTATCATAAGAGATTTGTTGACTGGTATTTCCGGTGTTACGTGATAGCGGTGATCCGCTGATTATGTTTTCTGAAATGGGGGAAAACATGGTGTCATTGGAAAAGTAAGACGAGTTCTATGGATGAACAACTTCTTTATTACAATTGGTGCGACGTTTCATAGAACTCGTCTTACTTTATCACTCCAACTTCTAAATGCCACTCAAAGAAGTCATTGGAAAACTTGAGTTTATTATAAATGTCAGTAAATTTTTGGAGCCATGCTTTGCCGCGCGCTATAACCGAGTTGGCGCTATATAGAGGAGTACAATAGTGAGGGAACACACAAGTCACGATCGCTCTCGATCGCGAAAACTTTGTTGACACCTACATGGATATATTTATCCATTCTCTGGCAACTTAAGTTCGTTTCAAGGCATACATAGCGGTAATCTGACCGTTGTTGCTGTAAATGTGAGTATTGCGTGACGTGCTCGCGGTGATCAGCTGATAATGTTTTTTTGAGAAGGGGGGACAACATCATGTCAGTGTAAAACTTATGTTTATTAAATGCGCAAGTAAATTTGGGGAGCCATGCGCTATAACCGAGATAACGCTATATTGCGGGGCGCAATAGCGAGGGAGGACGCATCTCGTATTCTCAGTTCTGTTGATGTAGTATTTTACTGAATATATTAGTTTGATTTTGGGCAAGTACATATTAAAATAAGGCAAGTAATAATTGGTCAACCCCTGTTGGTACCGCTAGTGTGTTTGTGGACTGACATATATATCCTATAGGGTGCTGGGGACTGTTTCTAACCCTGAATCTCCACGGGGTCTGCTTTTAAAACACAACATGGTTTGACATCTCAAACTGTTTTATATCAGCTATCGATGGATTCAAGTTTGACCAAAGCATCATTATCGGTATCGCAAGTTGTATATTCACTGATGCATGGCTTGAAGTTATTATGTAGCAAGTCCATAGAATAGTATCAAGGCCAAGCTCTGATATATTCACAAAAGGTATTTGATACAAATGGGATTTATACCGTATGGATTATCAAATCTCATATGATTTGCTTTCATTTTCAATAATCATAATATGCTACTCACCTGCAATAACAGACCCGTGAAGATCCGGGGTAGAATAGGTCTTCAGCATCCCATGGTTGACGTAAAAGGCGACTATGCTTGTCGTAAGAGGCGACTAACGGGATCGGGTGGTCAGGCTCGCTGACTTGGTTGATGCATGTCATCCCAGTTGAGTGAATCGATGCTCATGATATCAATCACGGTTATTTACGGTTATTCACAGACCGTCGTCATATAGCTGGAAGAGTGCGGCGTTAAACAACAAACAAACAACCTGCAATAACACGGGAACTGAATGTACAAATCCAAATAGGGAATTGCATCGGTCATTATTCTGGTAACTGATGCGTACAATTTGGAAATGACCATGATACGTTTTGAAAGATTTATGGTAACTTTTTGTTGTTGGATCGATGTCGGCAGACTAACAATATATTCATTCATAACATGTTATTTAATATGGATAATATTTGTTTAATGTCTTTGACTCTAAGACATGAAATGTTATTTCTTTAATGTTGCGGGGCGGTCGGGTAGCCTGGTGGTTAAAGCGTTCGCTCGTCACGCCGAAGACTTTGGTTCGATTCCCGACAAGGGTACAATGTGTGAAGCCCATTTGTGGTGTCCCCTGCCGTGATATTGCTGGAATATTGCTAAAAGCATCGTAAAACCCCACTCACTCATTAATGTTGTACATTTGTTTTTAAAGAATATTTTGTTCTTCTACATGCATGTTACTCGTTACGTGTGTAATGGATGCCCTATCGTGAAGTGTTAGCCCGTGGGCTCATCAACGAATAATGCTTACGTCATGTTTGTTGTTGTTCTTATAACAGAATGAAACGTTCAATGAATTCTAGACCACAACCATGCACTTCTACTCAAATGGGGTGCACGGATGGCCCAGTCGCCTAAGGCGCCGCGATTCCCTGTGCAGAGTTGCGTCCCTTGGGCACGCCAGAAATTTATTATTGTGGGTTCGAATCCCGGTTCGCCCCGATTATGTTTCTCGGTTTGTCAGCACCATACCCGTGCTCGTTGGTTTCACCCAAGTGGTAAACGTCTGAGACCTGCATCACTTCGGGCATTCCTCCCACATTAAGCTGACACGCAGTGATATAACTGGAATACTGTTAAAAGCGGTGTTAAACCCAACTCACTCACTCACTCTACTCACATGGGTCTACATCAATAGATGCCTGTAGCTTTTTTCTATCTCTGTGTTTCCACATGTGGACCGCTATCCAGCCTGCTGATTGGTCGCTACGGCTGCCGTGTGACGTCAATCATCGCAGGGGGTGTGGCTTCGATTGGTTTCTTTGCAAGCTCCTTCGCTCCAAGCTTGCACTTCCTCTATCTCAGTTTCGGGCTAGTGGGAGGTACGTGCTGTTTTAATACTTGGCCGTTTTTGGATGAATGTTGTTTGTGACTGTACTTTCTCATGTGATACTTGAGCCGTACGTTGATTTACTCACTGGAAACCAGTATAAACCTATGATTGTGGGTTCGAATCCCGGAAGGCCCGATTATGTTTCTAGGTTTGTCAGCACCATACCCGTGCTCGTGGGTTTCACTGAAGTGGTAAACGTCTGAGACCTGCATCACTTCGGGCTTTCCTCCCACATTAAGCTGAAACGCCGTGATATAACTGGAATACTGTTAAAAGCGGCGTTAAACACAACTCACTCACTCACTATGCTCACTGTAGTGTTTTATTGTACGATAAACAACTCCCACTCCTCCTTTGTTTCTTAAATATCAGACCCGTGAAGATTCCGGGGTAGAATAGGTCTTCAGGAACCCATGCTTGCCGTAAAAGGTGACTATGCTTGTCGTAAAAGGCGACTAACGGGATCGGGTGGTCAGACTCACTGCCTTGGTTGATGCATGTCATCGATCCCAATTGCGTTGATCGATGCTCATGATATCAATCACTGGATTGTCTGGTCCAGACTCGATTATTTACAAACCGCCGTCATAAAGCTGGAATATTGCTGAGTGCGTCGTTAAACAACAAACCAATCAATCAACCAAAATCTTAAATATCAGAGATAAAAAACGGTGTTGTGAATCTGCTATTTCAGGCACTGGTCTCGGTCTGGCCATGGTACCCGCCGTGGTGGCTGTGTCCAGCTACTTCCGGAAGAGGAGGGGGTTCGCCCTGTCCCTCTCCTCGGTCGGTGCTGGGGTGGGGACAATGTGCTTCCCCCAGCTGTTCAGGGTCCTGATAGAGGCATATGGGTGGCGGGGTCTTATGCTGGTGTTGTCAGGGGTAGCTCTGAACCTCGTCGTCTGTGGGGCACTCTTTAGGATGCCAGCTCAACTTAAAAAGAATTTGGAATCGAAAGGTTTGTAAACATTGTTAAGTTAATGTGATTGACTTAGCCATTACACACATGTACTGTTGTCTCCCGACCAAGAAACTAAGAAACTTTGCCCCGTTTCGATCTGTTTTCTGTCATCATCATGTCAATGACCTGCGTAATATACTCTTCACAAATAGAAACGCAAACACAGATTTGTGTAAGGTAGGAAAATACATTTATACGAGAAACCGTTCAAGGTATTGAGCCAGAATGTTGTGGAGAGAACACTTGGTGATTGTAGTCATCTCAAATATATACCATCAATACCGCGTATGTCCCCCGTTGGAATCGATAGCGGCCTGACATTTAAATAATTACATTATAAAACTGGGCAAGAGATTATCAGCAACCAAAGTTAGGCCACCATACTAGGGAACATGGGGCCTGAGAGTACATCTGCTTCCTGCATGGTACCCCAGCAGGATTAACACCATCCCTCTGGCTACTGGTGATTGTCAGTAAAGTTCAAGCCAAAGCATTTAAAACCAACAAGTATTCTACGATTAAAATCACAGAGAGATGAAAAATACTTTGAATGAAATGGGAGTTACGTCATACTAAAAGACGTTAAAAGATGGTACTTGTTGTATCCCTGCCTGGCGCTCGGCAGTACACGACTACTCGGGTTAACCTGGACCCCATTTTCTGGTGTCCCCTGCCGTGATATAGCTGGAATATTGCTAAAAGTGGCGTAAAACCATACTCACTTTGGGGCGGTCGGGTAGCCCAGTGGTTAAAGCGTTCGCTCGTCACGCCGAAGACCCGGGTTCGATTCCCGAAATGGGTAAAATGTGTGAAGCCCATTACTGGTGTACCCCGCCGTGATATCGCTGGAATGTTGCTAAAAGCGTTGTAAAACCGAACTCTCTTACTCACGTCACCTAATACACTTCGTGGCATTTTACAGAACATGTCCAGGAAGCCGGTTTTGGTTCCCGATTCACCCGACTATTCAAAGACTTCTTTACCGTCATACACAACGTCTCCTTCACCGTCATCCTCGCCACCATCACAACGACATACCTCGTGTACATCGTCCCCTTCGTCCACCTCCCCGACCTGGCTCGCCTCACGGGGGTAACCAAGGGCAACGCATCCTTCCTTGTGTCCATCATGGGGATAGCTGGCATTGCAGGGAGGCTGGTCTTTGGTTTCGTCTCCACCTTCGACTGTGTCAGCATCTTATCATGTCACGCTTGTATGCTCCTTGTCTGTGGTGTAGCGACACTGCTGTGCACGTTGATAAAGACGTACACTTTGTTTGCCGTTTATGCAACCGTGCATGGCGCTTTCATAGGTGAGTATTGTTTGTTTAAAAAATAGTCTACCCCGGATCTTCATGGGTCTCTGGATCGAGAATCATATAAGTATGTATAATATATTATGAGCAACGCTCATGGGGGTACGATGACATGCCTGGCCCATTCGTGACCAACTCGTGCTATTCCGGGACAAGCCGAATAGCGACTTGTGCCCCTCTCGTGGCCATTTTTCCGACTGGGTTCCGTCTTAGCGCAAACGGGCATACCTAAAACAGTTGTCAACTCGTTGCGTAATGGTTCACATATATTTCCCATATATTATATATATTTCAGATGCAATTTAAAACACATCGGGACGTGCGGAATTATACAGTATGGTTGAACACATTTAACTGTGTCTTGGGTATATTTTTAGGTGCAAGACATATGTAAAATCAACAATTATTTCTGAGGGATTATGTGACAAAGAACTCGAAATCATACGCGCATTCTGATTGGTTTGTCGTATTTCCGCACATAACATTCATCGATAGAGGGACGAGTCTTCTTGCAGGTTACGGAAAGGGGCGAGTGGTGACGAATGAAGCCTGGCCCTCCCATCCATATGGCGGCCTCTTTATGGGGACCATCTCAATAACCTAATGGGAACGTTTTGTTCAAATAAATACTATACACACTGAACATCGTTATGAAGATGTCATGTCCATTCATGTTTTCCTCTCACGCTTGTTTGCATTAATATGGCAAGCAAAATTATTTTCTTGCTTATGGTAATTCATCTTTAGTTACCCGTGCCCAGTAAAAGATAAAAAAAAACAGGTTTCTTTTTTATGTGCACAGCTTTTGATTTTGATACTGTGTTATTTCATAAGATGTAACTATACATACGAGCTCGTATAAATGTTATAAATAATACGTTTGCGGTATACCGATAAGAAAAGTGTGAACGAGAAGCACTTGGTCTATTCGCAAATGAACACATCGTACAGATTTATGTAGTCAAAGTCACTCACATATGAGACCCGTGAAGATCCGATCTTCAGCAACCCATGCTTGAGGTAAAAGGCGACTATGCTTGTCGTAAGAAGCGACTAACGAGATTGGGTGGTCAGGCTTGGTTGATGCATGCCATCGATCCCAATTGCGTGGATCGATGCTCATGATTTAAATTACTGAATAGTCAGGTCCAGACTCGATTATTTACAATCCGCCGTCATATAGCTGGAATATTGCTGAGTTCGGCGTTAAACAACAAACCATCCAACCTGATCCAGACTGGATTATTTACAGGACGCAGTTATATAGCTGGAATATTGCTGAGTGCGGCGCTAAACAACAAACCAACCAACCTGATCCAGACTGGATTATTTACAGGACGCAGTTATATAGCTGGAATATTGCTGTGTGCGGCGTTAAACAACAAACAAACCAACCTGTTCCAGACTGGATTATTAACAGGACGCAGTTATATAGCTGGAATATTGCTGAGTGCGGCGTTAAACAACAAACCAACCAGCCTGATCCAGACTGGATTATTTACAGGACGCAGTTATATAGCTGGAATATTGCTGAGTGCGGCGTTAAACAACAAACCAACCAACCTGATCCAGACTGGATTATTTACAGAACGCAGATATATAGCTGGAATATTGCTGAGTGTGGCGTTAAACAACAAACCAACCAACCTGATCCAGACTGGATTATTAATATGTGGCGATAAATATAACGATCCCCCCAAACAGGAAAATGATCACGTCGATGGTTGTGTAATAGTCATGCTGAGATCATAAGGTTGTTACATTAGAGAATAACTGCAGGTAGCTACACCGGCTTCATAGCGGTCGTCATAACGGAGATAGTTGGCTTGCATCAGACCGCAAATGCTCTGGGTATGCTGACCTTTCTCGGAGGGATTTTTATAATGCTGGCATCGCCTCTAGCTGGTAAGCAGACCGGGCGGTATTGTACTTGATGTAAATGTGTTACGACGCGCTTTCATTGTGACTGACTTACTGGGGCAGTTCTCAGCATACGGGGCGGTTGGGTAGCCTAGTGGATGAAGAGTTCGCTCGTCACGCCGAAGACCCGGCTACGATTCCCGACATGGGTGCAATGTGTGAAGCCCATTTGTGGTGTCACCGCCGTGATATTGCTTGAATATTGCTAAAACCGACGTAAAACCATATTCACTCACTGGTAAGGAGACCGCTGGCATGTTCGTTTCAACAAAATCAGTACATTTATTGGATTGTCTGGTCCATCACTTGATTGTCTGATCAAGACTTGATTGTTTACAGAAATGTTATGGCGAAGGAATCACAATGGGCTTCACATTGTACTCAAGTGTGGACTCGAACCCGGGCCTTCGGCGTGTCGAGCGGACACTTTATTCTCTCGGTTACCCTACCGCATCCGAATAATGATTATTTTAATATTATATTGCAAAATGGCCACAAAAAATAAATAAAAATGTTCTGTGTATGTTGGCATGAAATAATGAAACACAACACTGGGTTTGAGCACACAAAAAGCTATTCATTTGTTCTGATTTCGAGTTCAAGTTGAATAAGCGTTTGCAAAGTGTTTCAGTATATAAACATGGAATCACACACACACACACACACACACAAGGGCATCTGTAACACGAACATCGTGGAACTGACAAATTATTTGAAATGGACTCAAATGGTACAATGGTGATTTTTTCGGATATTAATATAACATATTTGCCTTAAATTTCATTGGGACCCGCGACGATTCGGGTTGGAAAAAGGTCTTCAGCAACCCGTGCTTGTCGTTATTGGCGACTAACGGGATCGGTTGGTCAGGGTCGCTGATGGTCATGATGTCAATCACGGGATTGCTTGGTCCAGTCTCGATTCTTTTCGGACTGCTGTCATATAGCTGGACTATTGCTGACTGCAGCGTCAAACACCAAACAAACAAACAAACAAACAAGCAATAATGTTCAGTGGCGATGTTTCAGGATTTCTGTACGACACAACCGGGAGTTACCTGACGTCTTTCTACTTCACTGGAGTCGTGTTTTTAATCTGTGGTCTTGTCTACGTTGGACTCATTCTACATCGGACACGTCAACGTATCTACCAGCAAGATTCTACACACATAGCGGACTAATGGGGACTAATGATTGGATCACCTTGTACCTGTGACCTCAACGTATACAGGCATCTACGGCAAGATTCTATGCCCATAGCGGACTAATGGGGACTAATGATTGGATCACCTTGTACCTGTGACCTCAACGTATACAGGCATCTACAGCAAGATTCTATGCCCATAGCGGACTAATGGGGACTAATGATTGGATCACCTTGTACCTGTGACCTCAACCTATACAGGCATCTACAGCAAGATTCTACACCCAAAGCCCCTGTACACGTTGAGGACCAATGATTTGATATTGAAAAACATCATTTGTCTTCATTGTTTTCCCATTGCTGAATGGTCCTGAAAAGAACGTGTGAGCAAGTCTTCTGCAGATTCTCTTTACAAGTGGGTAAATCCTGTCTGTAACTACACACCAACCTCTTTACAAGTTGGTAAATCCTGTCTAGAACCCCACACCAACATCTTCACAAGTGGGTAAATCCTGTCTGTACCTCCACACCGACCTCTTTACAAGTGGGTAAATCCTTTCTGTAACTAAACACCAACCTCTTTACAAGTGGGTAAATCCTGTCTGTAACTCCACACCAACCTCTTTACAAGTGGGTAAATCCTGTCTGTAACTCCACACCAACCTCTTTACAAGTGTGTAAATCCTGTCTGTAACTAAACACCAACCTCTTTACAAGTGGGTAAATCTTGTCTGTAACTCCACACCAACCTCTTTACAAGTGGGTAAATCCTGTCTGTAACTCCACACCAACCTCTTTACAAGTGTGTAAATCCTGTCTGTAACTAAACACCAACCTCTTTACAAGTGGGTAAACCCTGTCTGTAACTCCACACAACCTCTTTACAAGTGGGTAAATCCTGTCTGTTACTCCACACCAACCTCTTTACAAGTGGGTAAATCCTGTCTGTAATTACGCACGAACATCTTTACAAGTGGGTAAATCCTGTCTATAACTCCATACCAACCTCTTAACAAGTGGGTAAATCCTGTCTGTATCACCGCATCAACCTCTTTACAAGTGGGTAAATCCTGTCTGTAACTCCACATCAACCACTTTACAAGTGGGTAAATCCTGTTTGTAACTACGCATGAACATCTTTACAAGTGGGTAAATCCTGTCTGTAACTCCACATGAACCACTTTACAAGTGGGTAAATCCTGTCTGTAACTACGCACGAACATCTTTACAAGTGGGTAAATCCTGTCTATAACTCCATACCAACCTCTTAACAAGTGGGTAAATCCTGTCTGTATCACCGCATCAACCTCTTTACAAGTGGGTAAATCCTGTCTGTAACTCCACATGAACCACTTTACAAGTGGGTAAATCCTGTCTGTAACTACGCACGAACATCTTTACAAGTGGGTAAATCATGTCTGTAACTACGCACGAACATCTTTACATGTGGGTAAATCATGTCTGTAACTCCACACAACCTCTTTACAAGTGGGAAAACCCTGTCTGTAACTCCACACAACCTCTTTACAAGTGGGTAAATCCTGTCTATAACTCCACGCCAACCTCTTTACAAGTGCGTTAATCCTGTCTGTAACAACACACTAGCCTCCTTACAAGTGGGTAAAACCTGCCTTTAATCCCACACCAACCGAACCACCTGACTATTAAATGTTGAGACCCTGATACCATTTAGGATCCAGCTTATATCCTCGGCGGCGACAGGACCCTTTGACCCTAACAGTTGGAGACAAACAGAGGTCAGCAATTGTAAAAGCTCTCAAAGTATAAGGTTTCAACGGCATTTCACAAGTGCATTTGGAATAAAGGTCATTTGGAGTGTAGTTTGTGCTCATGTAGTCGAGTGATTGGATTAAGGATGAGTGAGTGATTTGACTTTTCTGCTGCTTAGAAGAGTTTATCTTGTTATCTGACGGCGTGCCAACTTTGTGCGGGAGGAAAGCCGAAGGTCACACAGGTGACACAAATCTTTTGTGATCCAAACAAAACACAACTCTTGGAAGTCATACCGTTATCGGAATGAATAAGAGACGCCATTCTGCACTGTTAATAGTCGACCAGGCCTTCCCTTTATTTATTTTTCTGATTTGTTTATCCAACAACACACTGCGTGAATGAGTAGTTGAGTTTAAGATCGCTTTGAACTTTTACACGTATGTGAGCCATATCACGTCATGTCCGCCAGGCGTACGAGTCAATTTCCAAGTGATGCATATATTAAACGTTTACTACATTGGTTTTGGTTTTGTTTTGTTTGTTGTTTTTACACCGCCCTCCGCAACATTCCAGCTATATGACTGCGGTCTGTATATAATCGAGCTTGGACCAGACAATCCAGTGATTGACATCGTGAGCATCGATCCACGCAAGTGGGATCGATGACATGCATCAACCAGGTCAGCGAGCCTGATCACCCGATAAACGTACGTATGTGCTAATCATAACTGATAGTTCGGGCACGGGTTGCCCTGTCGTCTAAGGCGCCGCCATTTGCTCTGCAAAGTTGCGTCCCTTAGGTGTGCCAGATCCGAGGTAGAATAGGTCGTCAGCAAACCATGATTACCGTAAAAGGAGACTATGCTTGTCGTAAGAAGCGACTAATGTCGGGTGGTCAGGCTCGCTGACTTGGTTGATGCATGTCATTCCATCCCAATTGCGTGGATCGATGTTCATGAGGTCAATCACTGGATTGTCTGATCCAGACTCGATTATTTACAGACCGCCGTCACATAGCTGGTAAATAGCTGGTATATTGCTGAGAGCGGCGTTAAACAACAAACAAACAAACAGAGATTCGCCCTGATTATGTTTCTAGTTTTGTTAGCAACAATTCCCATGTTCGTAGATTTCACCAAACTAGTAAACGTCTTGTTATTCAGATCTGCAGCAGTTGGCGCTATCCTCCCACTTCTATCCGACAAGCTGTCCTGACATATAGGCAGAGAAAGGGGGCACGGGTGGCCCCGTCGTCTAAAGCGCCGCGATTCGCTGTGCAGAGTTGCGTCCCTTCGGCATGCCAGAAACCTATGATTGTGGGTTCGAATCCCGGTTGGCCCCGATTATGTTTCTTGGTTTGTCAGCACCATACCCGTGCTCGTGGGTTTCACCGAAGTGTTAAACGTCTGAGACCTGCATCACTTCGGGCTTTCCTCCCACATTAAGCTGACACGCCGCGATATAACTGGAATACTGTTAATAGCGGCGTTAAACATCATCACTCACTCACACTATGGACAGAGACGTATAACGTAACAATAGCAAATCCTTACAACTCCTTCCTTCACGGACATCCAACAAGTCGAGAATGCGTTGAGGGTCAACAAAACACAGTAACACGGAAGTGCTTTAAGATTTGTTTATTCTTGAAACTTTCCTGATAGTCAGTCGGAAGCATCGTCAGATCACTCCACCTACAAACAATAAACACATTTGGAAATTTGGACATCTGCCTTAACGTTTTCATGAACACATTTCTAATGGTGATATTTGCAATATACAAACGGACTGTTTGTGTTATTCTCTCCTTCCTCATTGTATAACTCAATAGAATATAAACTGACTTTCAGTATAACGTATACAACAACTGTTACAACTGTAACGATGGATATAACAGACATCATTCTGGCCAAAGAAAAACGACAAAATTATGTAACTTATATGACTGAATGACAATGACGAAACATCTTGTAACCTCGAATACATGTCTGGGCGACAATGCACAAACACAGGCTCCGTAACCAGAAATCTATTATTGGACTACAGTGCCCTGAGGATCTATGACCAATACTATATGGCTGGTCTACAAATACCCAAGGTTCTATAACCAGAAATCTATGATTGCACTACAGTACCCTAAGGTTCTATGACCAATACTATATGCCTGGTCTACAAATACCCAAGGTTCTATAACCAGAAATATATGATTGGACTACAATGCCCTAAGGTTCTATGACCAATACTACATGCCTGGCCTACAAATACCCAAGGTTCTATAACCAGGAATATCTGACAGGACCACAATGACAAAAGGTTAAGTAATGTCATTGGAATACAATCAGCCAACCTGGACAATGTACTTACTGGTTTGATGAAGGCAGTGAGGGAGAAAATTTTACAACCCCTCCTTTGGAAGGTGAACACCATGTCTGTAACAATAAACAGTGCACAAGTTCATTACTCATGTAACACGTAACCATGTAGCCCTACCCCAGACCCGTGAAGATCCGGGGTAGAATAGGTCTTCAGCAACCCATGTTTGTCGTAAACGGCGACTATGCTTGTCGTAAGAGGCGACCGATGGGATCGGATGGTCAGGCTCGCAGACTTTGTTGAAGCACGTCATCGATCCCAATTGAGTGGATTGATGCTCATGATGTCAATCACTGGATTGTTTGGTCCAGATTCGATTATATACAGACCGCAGTCTTATAGCTAGAATATTCCTGAGTGCGCCGTAAACAAACAACCAACCAACCAGGCCACACATGTAGTCGCACCTCACTGACGAAAACGTAGCCATATCTGAACGTCAGCACTGCTTTTCGTAAAACGTCCTTGGACATGACAAAATATCCTGTTACACACAAATCCCAAAACAAATTGAAATAAGTTGAAAAAAGACATATCCTCATATAACCTGTTTTCTTTCCTCAAGGCTAAAATGATGCGTAAAACAACATTCTCTCAAACACATTTATCTGACCGTGTCATAAAGCTGGAATGGTGCTGACATTAACGTTAACAACATTCACTCCACCTCATTTACCTGACGGCGTCATATAGCTGGAATGGTGCTGACATTAACGTAAAACAACATCCATTCAACCACATCCACCCGACCTCGTCATATAGCTGGAATGGTGCTGACATTAACGTAAAACAACATCCATTCAACCACATCCACCCGACCTCGTCATATAGCTGGAATGGTGCTGACATTAACGTAAAACAACATTCATTCAACCACATTTACCTGACCGCGTCATATGGCTGGAATTGGAATGGTGCAGACATTAACGTAAAACAACATTCATTCAACCACATTTACCTGACCGCGTCATATGGCTGGAGTGGTGTAGACATTAACGTTAAACAACATTCATTCAACCACATTTACCTGACCGCGTCATATGGCTGGAGTGGTGTAGACAATAACGTAAAACAACATTCATTCAACAACATGTACCTGACCGCGTCATATAGCTGGAATAGTGCAGACATTAACGTAAAACAACATTCACTCAATCACATTTACCTGACTGCGTCCTTTAGCTGGAATGGTTCTGACATCAACGTAAAACATTCACTCAATCACATTTACCTGACCACGTCACATAGCTAGAATAGTGCAGACATCAACATAAAGCACCGTTCATTCAACCACATTTACCTGACCACGTCATATAGCTGGAATGGTTCTGACATCAACATAAAACATTCACTCAATCACATTACCTGACTGCGTCACATAGCTAGAATAGCGCAGACATCAACATAAAGCACCGTTCATTCAACAACATTTACCTGACCGCGTCATATAGCTGGAATGGTGCTGTCATCAACATAAAACAACATTCACTCAATCACATTTACCTGACCGCATCATATAGCTGGAATGGTGCAGAGATTAACGTAAAGCACCATTCATTCAACCACATTTACCTGACTGCGTCATATAGCTGGAATGGTGCAGATATTAACGTAAAACAACATTCACTCAATCACATTTACCTGACCGCGTCATATAGCTGGAATGGTGCTGACATTAACTTAAAGCACCATTCATTCAACCACATTTACCTGATGGCGTCATATAGCTGGAATGGTGCTGACATCAACGTAAAGCAACATTCATTCAACCACATTCACCTGACCTCGTCATATAGCTGGAATGGTGCTGACATCAACTTAAAGCACCATTCATTCAACCACATTCACCTGACCTCGTCATATAGCTTGAATGGTGCTGACATCAACGTAAAACAACATTCATTCAACCACATTTACCTGACCGCGTCATATAGCTGGAATGGTGCAGAGATTAACGTAAAATGACATTCATTCAACCACATTTACCTGACCGCATCATATAGCTGGAATGGTGCAGACATTAACATAAAACAACTTTCACTCAATCACATTTACCTGACAGCATCATATAGCTAGAATAGTGCAGACATTAACATAAAACAACATTCATTCAACCACATTTACCTGGCCACATTCTTTCTATCACATTTACCTGGTGTGATATCCTCAGAATTGGGTATAGCGGGTTCCATCCAGCTGACGTCCATAGCCTCTGGGTTCTTGTTGGCCTTGCAGTTGTTGTAACATAGGCCGCCCCTGTTCTTGCCGTAGTGCAACCCTATCAGCTGACCAGCCTCCACGCTGATGCGGTCGCTGGCGCTGACGTTGACCACCTGTACCGCGTTGTCGATGGTCTTCACTATGTTCTGCCCAACAAGACTGAACCTGGAGTAAAAGGGAACGTGTTCGTTATTTGTTTATCATCGCACTCAGGAAGATCCATCTATCTGACGGCGGCCAGGTAAATAATTGAGTCTGTACAAACAGACCAGTGGTTGATACCATGAGCACTGTTCCAGGCCGTCGGAGTACAATGGCACGCATTCATAAGTCAGCGAGCCTGACCATTCGATCTATGAAATCGCCCCTAACTACAAGCAAAGTTTACACTGCGGAACTTATCTACAGCTTAATACACACAGGGCGAAGAGAACCATTCATTTAAATAGTTAGCATCCAGTCTGACATTATCTAGTCAGTTCATTGTCTTTTGCCTGTACTGTATCATAATATGAAAGATATTTGTAACTTTTTTAACTCAGCCACGTAAACGGTGTTATACTCCAGTAACCGAGCTCATTAAGTTGTTATCAGGCAATTAAAGAACCTGGAAGAGAGACCATGTCAGAGCGAAAATAGAGATATACAAAGGACTATAGACATGGGATTGTCGTTGTTTAGGCTGCAATATTTGGCTGTTCAAATATAGGGGTAACTATTGGTCTGGAAATCACTATTGCGATAACTATTGATATTGAAAGAAACTATTGCGGTAATTAAATATTGATAGTTTTCAGAGTATCATTTTAGATGGATTATAGAGTTGTATTAAACCTTGGAACTGAAGTTTCCTTTGAATGTGATAAACATAACAACAATTAAAAAGTAAAGTTTGAGCTATGAGTGATTTGTTTTTTTTCTTTTCCCTAATGATTTAAGAAAAAGAAACTTCTAAATTACCATATGTAAATTACTACCATTCATGATCAAAAGAAAAACAAATTTGAAAAGCATTGCATGTATTTTATAGATATAGTAAATCCAATCAATACTATCTATATTCCTAACTGAAATCGATATTATTGATCGGAAACTGATTTAACAATCGATTTATTGCCTTTAAGTGCTTACCAATAGCAACATATTGATATTTCGATTTATCGTGACACTCGTTTTCAAATTTACAAAACGAGAAACAGCTACCCAGAATTGGATGATATATTCAACAGGACTCACTGATTTGTCCCCACTTCCCGCCACACTTGCAGCGCGATGTCTCCCACGAATTTGGAGAAGAACTTCCACTGGATGATCTCGCCATCATGCTGGATACGGAAGTTGGCGTCGATGCCGGAATACACATGCTTCTTGGAACCTACCTTCCCACGACTTATCAGTGGAAGCCAGTTGGTAGGGTACAGCTTGTATTTCCTTTCCTAAAATTGCAAGCATAAAAAGTCATAGGTTCGTGTCAACATCTTCCATACGAAGGGATGCCATTGTTCAGTGTTTGATACCACTTCAGAATATATAGATCAACCGAAAGTCGTAGCCCAAAGTTCGTTGAGATATTAAGTGGGATAATTTGATGGTTATTCGTATCTGATCCATCGGATCCATCGGATCCATCGGATTCATTCTCCGTTGTAAGTGAGTTATTATGGTGTCTTTAAACAGTATCCCATTACTAAGAATGTGTAAGAAATATCAGTGGCTGTAGAAACTGTTTTAAATATATTTGCAGTAATTATCAGTAACAGCAACTGATTTACCTTCTGGTAAAAATACTATCGGTGTCCTGGCCAGATTTGAATTGCAGTCTGCGGCCTGGTTGTTTACATTAAGATCAAAGTTCATTTGAGAAGTTTCGTGATAGTGATTATTTTCATAATGCCTCACTAGCTAGTTGTGAGGATTGGAACCTTGTTTTAAACCAATCGGTTGATTTGGAAAAATAAAATTAATATAAATACCTCAAAAGCATGATTGTCAAATAAGAAACTAATGACACAGCTGACCCAAATCCATGGATAGGTCTAAATCCATCAATAATAAAAAAAAAACTGGTGGAAGAATGATCTACGGCAGCAGTCCAAGAGGTACGTGTAACCTAGCACTCTGTTACTGCCATGGCTCTGTCACTTCTTTCACCAAACACAGGGGTGAAGGGTACTGAAAACTTAACTAGTCGTTATTGAGGAATGGAGACTTTATTGCTATGGTTAGAAACCAAATAGGGATATACAATGTCAAGATGAAATAAATCTAAATGAGGATTCTAATTTAGGACTAAGTGTTAAGGATACTTTATTTTTAGGGACTTATGAAAGTTAGAGGTAAGACTATTTCCTTTGCTACGTATCATAAAACAAATAGAAAAAGGCAAATACATGATTAGACACTAAAAACACGAAACTGAAACTAACATCAACCCAAGCTTCCAAACATAAACGAGGAACCTTTAGCAGATCTATTAGAGACAACACTATAAAAACTATACAAACTATAAAAGAGGAACAAGTCAGATGAAACGATATTAGAATAGGCATTCAATAAAACAAAGAAGGTGAAAAGCCTCCCAAGTACTTTTGCCATCTTGAAAACAGATGTTACACAAGCAAAGTTGACTGCAGGATTCATTCCAGGCAAATAATAAGTGACAATATTAGTCTGTGATGTTTTGTTTGAAAAGTAAGAAGCAAACCACAGGCAGAATACTGATTTTGAAAAGGCTTTTGACACTGCATCTGAAGAATTTCTTATGATTCACAGAAAGGTAAAAAAATTGTTAAGAACTTGACCTGGACTGGAACTATGGCAATGTTGAAGTTTTTGGATTGCCCCTCTATGCACCTGTACACGATCTATAGTATTTAACAAGGCAAGAAATAGTCAATGGATTGCTGGCAAACTGAAACATTTACGCCTATATTAAAGCACCAGCGTTATTAACTCAAGTACACATAGTATCAGCTTTATCCAACCTTCCTGATCAATATCTAAATAAAACATTTTATTTTCGATAGGTTAAAATGAAAAAAATCAAAGAACCAACTTGATAAAAAGGTGGCCTCAAAATGATTGACCTAAAAATCTTTTTTGAGGTCCTACAAATCTCCCATCTTTCAGGTTGTGTGTAATCTAAACACTTCAAAAGTCCAAGTGATTTTCAGAGACAAAATTCAGATTAGGTGCAATTGTTGCTAAACACAGAATTTGCAGTTGTCCCTACTGGCAATATGTTTTGAAGTCTTGATTACATAAATACAAGTAAAATATTCAAGATATTCTTTTCCAGCCACGTTGGATTATTAATCTTCTCCAAAACAAGAATTTAACAATACAAAAATACTATGACAGAGACAAGGGCTGGATAAAGGATTGCTGTGATGAACATGGTTTATTTAATCTGACGAATTTGAGAAAAAATATAATATTGAGAGGTCATACTGCATGTGTTTTGATCGAAACACCGATGATGATCTGTTTCATAATATACCTTAACGCCTATTACTTTTGTTGAAAAAACAGTATATAGATAACACGCACACCACACTGCACCTATGATGACGGTATCAACGGAACGGCCACGTCAGAAACCACCTAACCATGACAACCCCTCGCCAAGACCTATGGATCACAACTGCACATCACTCGAAGGTGTCTGGGATGAAATGGAACGGAAACTCCTCCAAATCCGGAATAGATTCTCATATGGGTACCGAATCTCGACATGGGCACAATGTGTGAAGCCCATTTCTGGTGTCCCTGCCGTGATATTGCTGGAATATTGCTGAAAGCGGCATAAAACCAAAATCACTCACTCACTCACTGATATGGGAACAATACGTGAAGTCTGGGGTCCCGCGAAAGCAGTGTAAATCCCTTCTCTCTCAACCGTCTCTTGGTAAAAGCATTTGTTCATGACCCCTAAGTCCCAGGTTCTATTCTACAATGCTACAACGAGTGAAGCGCAATTCTGGTGTCCCTAAAGGCGGCGTAAAACTCCCCATTCACTAACTCCCTCAAACCGTGGTGCAAGATACTTACCGGTCCAACCATTGCTCTGAAGGACATGATGTAGCACTTGTTCCTGTCCGCCTGGTCGTATATCTCCCCACTTACAAAGTAGGAGGGCTTCTTCACTTTGGTGTTAATCCAGGACATCTGTGAAGCCTCGGGGTGCTGGCTTGAACTGCACACAGTGAAGGCTATCCCTGGGAGAGGGTCATAGTAGTAGATACCGATCAGGTCTCCAGTCTTCACCTGGATACGCTCATACTCAGGGACGTTGAATGTGTCCACCTGGCCGGTCACCTTACTGTCCACCAGGTTGTGGCCTTTGAACTCGAATCTAGTCAGAAGATACGTAAAAATATTACTTGAAGTAGGCAGTGAACCAGAATTTGAATAGCAAAATAACCTGAAAATGATAACTGAAATATGTCTCTGATAGACATCTAGAAGTTGAAAGAGAAAGAACATTAGGGATGACAACGTCTTTATTGTTTTGGAACGATGTTTCAAGGATATCTCTTTCAACTTTATCATTAATCTGCAGCTGATGAAGCGGCCGAACATATCTTCTCTTAAGTCCTGAAAGAGTACAATCCCAGGAAAACAAGGACAGTCTTCAGTCTTGAACAGCAACATATTTAGTCCTGCCAACAATATACTTAACTTTGGCTTCAAGGTCGTTTTTCGAGAACATTTCGTATCATCACCATTTGATTGTGATTCATAAACACAGGCTCATTATACTCGGAAACATACAATCACATCTGGTTTGACCAGAGGCTTGGAGTTCAATGAAAATGGAAAGAGTTTTGTCACTTTTATTTTACATTTTCATTAAGTGTATTTTGAGTGGACCACTATTTATAGCATTAGGTCTGTTTTGTATGCTCAAAACGAAGCTATGGCGTAGACCGGATCCAGGGTATTGATTCTAACAAAATGGAGTTTTCCAATTAAATATACAGAATAATCAATGATGATCGCAATTTGTCAAAGTTGTGATGGTAAGAATAGATATAAGATACAATGGAGTATCTGGGATAAAATGAGATCGGATTGTAAATCGGAAGCGGAAATGGTCATAACACGAATTCAAATGCATGAACAGCAAACTTACTTTCGACTTCCGGCATCAGATCGTGGTCTCCAGACCTGCAGGAGTGCTCTCCCTGGTCTCGACGAGAAGAACTGCCACTGCACAACCTCGCCATCTCTGTTGATTCTCATCAGGTCGTTGTCGCCCACGTAGCTCCTGTACTGAATACCGTCGGTCGGACGCGCTATCAGGTCCACGTTGTTACTGGGCGTTACTGATGTATCTTAAATAGAATTAATCGGAATTACATTGTTACATTGTGTGTGGAAGTGAGTGCGTTGTTTCGCATGATGACAATGACAAGACAATGGATCATTATCTGAACGAATCTGAGATTCGAACCTGCGATCTTTATATCCTTACTGTGATGACCACTAAGATAATGCAAGCAGATCATTGACGCATTCTGGCAGGCCAAATATATATACAAAACATAAATAATCTGTTCCCTAAAATGCTGAGTAAATACTTTATCATCCAAAACTGGCTTCCACAGGAGATATTGCTTGGATACCTTTGCATCTTGCTTTGCTGTCCATTGGGTCGTCATTTGTAACCATTACGAAACAAATATTTGACTTCTACACTCACGACACTTGTTATTACTGAAATGGTTCGAAGAAGGTTGATTATGTGTGATACATAGAATCATACCCCTGTGTCGTTTGCTTTTTTAAAATATGTCAGAACTCGTCGATAAAAGTTTAGGATTCCTCGGAAGCCCTGAAATCTTATAGCGTCTTGATAAATAGGAAGTTCTGTATTTGCCCTTAGGTTTTATGAAAATATCGTTCAGTGGACATGCTGGATGCTGGATTTCACTCTGTGAAATTATTTGACGCCTCATTTCAGAGAAATAAAATACATGTTGACTGAAAACCCCTAACTAATCTTCCTAAAACAAAACACCCAGAACACACACACAGACGCACGCACGCACATGCATGCAGACGCACACGCACGCACGCACGCACGCACGCACACACGCACACACACACACACATATATGGATATTAACCTGCACAGATGAGTTCCTCGCCGTCCAGTTGACCACTCACAAGGCACTTCCTCTGCTCGTCACCGCTCAGTTGGTCAAAGCCATCTTTGCAAGCATACCTGACTATTGTATTAAACCCGACAGGGTTGATCGTGGTCTCCAAAATGGCGTTAGATGAGGCAGGAGGAACATCACACGTGACCACCTTCGTAAAAAAACAACACAGTGAGCGAAAAGTGTCATCGTTCACAAAGCTAATATCGGAGCAAATATTGTCCCAGAAAAGACTTTTAAAAATAATTACGCTTTCGATGGTAGCAATAAAGGAAATAAATCTGTTGCAAAGTTTTATGTTTATTTTCTTATTCAGGCTAATAAAATCTGGTTTTTCAGTTGAAGTCTTTGATTGGCATTTGGTTGGGAGAATATGAACACATGACACTTTTTAATGAACAGCAAAGTCTTTCATTCTTTGTACGACATGTCAGAGCTTCTTCTTGCTCCTTGTGCAGTTTCAGCAATATCCAGTCTCCATACTAAATCCCGGGATGATTGTAATATTTAATCTATGACATTAAAACATAGTCTCAACTGGGCTGTTTCTGTGAACGTGGATATCTCACAATCTATTCAATCCCGGAATACTTACAGGGCCAACCCGGGCTCTGAAGGACATGATGTAGCACCTGTTCTGGTCTGCCTGCGTGTAGAGTTGGCCGGGAGTGAGGTAGTCCATGTCTGTAATTCTCGTCTCGATCCACGACATGTTGGCTGCCTCCGGCGTCAGTTCGTTATTGCATTCAGTGTAGGTTATACCTATCAGAGGGTTAAAGTAGTGGATGCCAATCACATCGCCGGGTTTAACAGGGATGCGGTCGCTGACGGGGACGTTCAGGACCTCCATACGTCCAGTTGTGTTGGTGTCCAGCAGGTTCTGACCAATGAACTCAAACCTACACACACGAATTACATCATCAAAGACATATTATATAAGTGTTCCACCAACATAAGGGCAGGGGACACAACAATTGATCTTCACACGTTGTACCTGGGGAGAGCGCGTGATGACCCCTTCGGTGTGACAAGCGACCGCTTTCACCTTAACCATTTGGCTACCCCCTTCCTCACATACGCTACCCCCACCCTCACATACGCTACCCCCATCCTCGCATACGCTACCCCCATTCTCACATATGCTCCCCCCATTGGTCTTGTCATCTTGAGTCCACGTTTCACAAGACAAATTGTTGGAATTGAAAAGATTTGGGTTGAGGGTTACTTTCTAACAAGGACACAAACATGAATTGATAAATATAGAATTACTAAGCTGGAATCTAAAGTGATGTTTTCAGATGACCATAACTGTAACGAACAGCTTCCCTTTCAATGATGAGACCGGCTCAGGGCTCTTTTCCACAAAGTTAATGGGAGTTCTGATCTTAGCATTAAGACGGCTTCGTTTAGGGCATTGTCTGAGCGACTGCAAAACCGCCTCTCATTGGGAAACACTGAACCAATAATAATAGTCTGTAAACAGCAATGAGGCGATACGGAGAGGAATGTCCCCTTGCATCCTTTGAACACTGTGTGAGATGCGGCTGTCGAAGCACCTTCAGGACACAGAAACAAAATACAGTTTTTGATTGTCTTACATCCTTTCTCCAGCGTCGCTTCTTGGCCGCCACACCTGGAGCATTGCCTTTCCTGCTGTTGTCGCATAATATTGCCAGTGCGTGATCTCTCCTTCTCTGGTGATCCTCATGTGGTCATTGTCGCCGAGGTAAGCCCAGTACATATCACCATATTTTAACCGGGCAACGAGGTCCACGTTGTTGATGGGGGTTACTGACGCTGCAAAAGCTGTAAGTTCAATGTAACGGCGTTAAAGTGAAGTACATAACACCTACACATTTGTACACCTGAACATTTATTAAGTATTGGAGAAAACACTTCGCCCCCTTGGTTTTTCCCTCTCCCCAGTGCATGCTCTGTCTACCAAAACCAAGGGAAAGTGTGTTTTCCATACTTATAAACCGAAAAAAGAAACTTAAAACAACATTTATCAACATATTAATGTTTCGAACATACTTTCCATGAACCTTAGGAAACGCGCGTAAAACATCTGTTGCTGGCGTACGGATCTTGAAAAGGACATTCTGAAAACCAGTGTGGCTCACCAACACCTCTGTAGCCTCGTGGTACACTCACTGGGCTACAGATATGAAGGTTCGATCCTCGGGAATATAAAGAAAACATTTATCGCTTGATTTTATATTTCATTACATGTTACAATCTGAACGGAAGTAACATTAATAAAATACCCAGGACCTTATACAAAATCCCTGGGATATTATAGCAAATATGACTTGAATATCCTATAAAATCCCAGGGATATTATATAAAATCCCAGGGACATTACAACGTCGCTGTTTATGAGATTTAACCCGACAGGAAAGTAAAACCTCACAATTGGTTTTAATGCCTATAGAAAGAGGTCTCTTAATTGATAGCGATCCCAATGAATAGGTTTATAAGCACTATCCATTTTCTCATGAATGAGTCGAGTTATTTGTGGCCAAGTGCAAAATGCGTTTGCAAAACAGTATCCAATGATATTACAGCTTACCAGAGTCATCAATTATGAAGAAAAACAAGGGTGTGGATAGGTACAGTCACATTTACTCTGAAGTGTTGGCATTTTGTGTATAGGCGATATAATGACGAAGAAACAAAACGAAAGTGGAAATTACTATTGTAGTCGCACAATAAATACTGAACTGAATGAAATCAGTCTGTATCAACGGAATTCTAAACCAATGTCAGGTAATACTTGGTGAAACGACTGCCACCAGGCGCCTCCTCAATCCATAAATCAGATGTTGCACGTGACGTCGAGGTGGTCTAGCTCATTCCGCAGCATGCAAGTTCAGTACTTTTGGAACATATTGGTCTCTCTGTTGAACTTAACTGCATAAAATGACCCAAGATGTTCATTGGACTTGCTGGTAAAAGGCAGTGGCATGGATGACATTCTGACGTAGCATTCCAGAAGAACACTTGATCCCTGATGTCTATTATACTTCATAGAGACCGATCTAGTGGCCATTTTGTCAAAATGGTGGATAACTGCCGTCACCAGGGTGTCATGCTGGAGGCCGTTCAGATTACCCTGCACAGTGATCAAGTCAGATTTACAATTAAATGAAACACATCCCCATACAATTATGGACCCCCATATAATGTATGGTTGGTTCTGTGCCATGTTGTATTCTGCTATGGCTGTATTTGCCTCCAGAGTTGAGTACGACCATCTACCATGTACAGTAACCGTGTCTCTCAGACATGATTCCATATTCCAGTTTTGACGTTGATTAGACCATACCAAACGGGCTGCTTTACGGGCCTCAGTTAAGAAGCGGCGTTGGGATGGTCTCGTGGCTGTGTAGCCTGTTGTTTTCAGCTGATTTCTGATAGGTCTGGTTGAAATCGCTGTATTTGGCAGCCAATGTGCAAACTACTGTTGTCAAATTGAGTCTAACGAGCTATGCTAATACTGCATCTTCTCTCCTGGATGTCTGGGAGGCTGACCTGGGTGGACCTGGCCTTCACTTCACTTTTTGTTTGGTGAAACTTAAACTACAGTATGGTGACGTCCAATTTCCTTATAAGACATTCCTGCAAATTGATTCCACTGATATGTCATCTTAACGCTTTCTAATGAGCATGCAGCCTGTGGTGAGAAATGTTCACGACCAATATGTTTTTTAGACGTGTCATGGGTATTGTGCTTCACGTGCAGTATGTGCAACACCAAGTGCATTGACAGTGGTATTGGCAATGGTATGATGTTGGAAAAGGTCTATACAATCTAATATAAGGATACAACTCTTTTTCAAAACTTATCATTCCGTGTCGTTTTGATTTTGTTTGTGTTTAATTTATTTACAGTGGCCACTGGTTTGGAATCTTTCCAAACATCCTTCTTTTGGAGAGGAATTCAAGAAGGTAACATCGTTTTTTCATCAATTCCCATCGATTAAGCACAGGAACAAACATATCTTATGTGTAGGGTTAACAGAATTTATCCCAGCTACTCAGACAGAGATGGTACATGTTTTTGGCGAATTTGAGACTTCACAAGATTTACTAAGAAGGAAATCAGAACTAGATGTTAGAAGGCATGAACATGTGAGATGTGTTTCACAAATCTTCAAAAGACAGGTCCAATCACTTTGTGATATATTTGATATTTGTGACCCGTCTCAGGAGGAAAGCAGTAAGCTATCGGTGTTAGATATGAACGACATCGTTGCAAATACCACAGCAGACACAATTCGAAAAGTAGAAAAATGTAGAGAAACACAGTTCAACGGGTTTGGAGAGGAACATTATATACACTTACAATAAACAGGCTCTGTGCAACAAAGGGTCAGAATTTGTCAATAAGCTGCATCGATGTTCAGACACAAGACTGACACAAGACTTTTATGTCTGCACATTTCTGATGCTGCCAGAGATGGTCATGATAGGATTTTGATTCAAACAATTGATACCGGTGTCATTGTCCTGGCCATTGCAGAATAGATGCGTCTCACACCTGGATAGCCTTTGGAACTAGCAAACAATTCAGATATCTTGGCGGCTTATGTCCTTGCAGTATTCCATGGGCCAGAGAAAGCCTGTTCACTTCGCCCTTCACTGTCTGTGACAAGATATCTCTATGTGCGGGACAAGGCCAAAAACAAACAGCGTGGGAAACATGGAATGTGTATGATGAAGCAACAGAGGCTTTCAATATCATTGATGATGTACCAACTGAACAGGATGTGAAGAACAGGATGCCAGTCATTCAGCGTCTTGTGGTCTCAATGAATGATTGGGCCAGTATTTTTGTATAAGAGTTAATGGCACGCACAGACTTATTCACTGAGAACGGTAGATCAGTTGAGATCTCGGGGCTGAAACAGACCTTTCCACACCACCTGAGAGAGGATGGGTAATATCAGAATCACATGGCTGTGAGCCTCTGTGGACTACACTACCACAACCTTCTCAGTCATGCGAAGACCTTTTGTGATGTAGTATTTGGTGAACAACTTTGCTAATGTGGTGGAAACAGTGATAACAATTAATTGTCCCTCACTAACCAAAACCATTCGTCATTAACAGCATATTAAAATAATACAAAGTTTGTTCTTTAAATATGCTGTTGTTGTCATTGTATTCGCCATATGAGTATTCAATATTGGTATTGTAAATTGGCCTTCATGTAGTATGTCTTAAAGATATGCCAAAAAAGTGATAAATTAATATATTTGTAATATGTTTTTATACGTTAGATGACCTAAATCAACATAAATAGTCTTTTATGATAAAATTATTTACTTCACAGATGTAGTGTTTGGTAAATATATTCCAAAATGTTTGTATTTCTTTATATATTTAGCTTGCACAAATCACACTTGCACAATTGACCCCATATCTGTCACGAAACGGCTCCACTGAGAGAAATCGGCCTGGATGTAGACGTCAGTATTTATTTGAGTCATCCAGTGTTAGGCCTTATTAGGGGCCTGGGACATTATCGAAAAAAATTAATTGTTACCGAAAAGGTTACAAAACATTACGTTGTAGCAAGGTGTTTTTCCTGGAAAAAATATCTGATTTTGTAGCTGTAGCTGACGAATATCTTCTCTCTAATCATTGCTAATGTCCCTTATCAGGTCTCACGGAGACAATTCAGGTCTGCCTCTTGCCCATTATTAAGTCTTATAAAGACAGTTTTATATCTTTATCATGATTGTATGTTTACGTACCTTCACACACATGGTCTTCCCCACTCAACTGACCACTAGCAAGACACGCCCTGTCTGGATGACCACTCTCTCGTATATGACCATCCATACACCTGTACTGGACCACCTGGCCACGTGACACCTGGTCAGTAGCCGTCTCCAGGATGACGTTAGTCGTGGCTGCGGCTGCCAGACAGGTGAGTGCTGGAATAGAGATAGAGAGTATAGTGAAGTACAGTGAAGGGCATTGAAGTATAGTGAAGACAATTTCTCCCCCTTGTTACACTTTTATACTTCTTAACATAAATTGCCAATGCAAGCTTACAATCAGTCCCGACTATGCGCCGAAACAATCTGCATCCGACCCAAAGGGACCTACACGAATGAACCACCGAGAGCCAGTGATGACACCAGGTGTTCGTGAACAGGGTAATCATGTCCTTCCCTACTGGTAGCATCCGCCGTATATATAACCTTTTTGAGTTAGTGAGTGTCTTGTGGTTTAAGTTTTCAGTCAGCACTATTCTATATGATTGGCCTTGAATAACTCAATTAGTAGTATAAAAATAGTCACAAGCAAAATCTGCAAAGTGTTATGCATTCTATTGGACGTGTAATAAGGCCCACAAGTTGTTTACTGATGTAACATCTCCACGAAATATGAACATGACCAGATGGTAGGTGCGGAATGCTGGTTGCAACATTTATAAATAGTCAGAATAAATCTGACACATTGTAGTTTTATAAATGCATTTAGTGTTTCGTCCCGGTAGAGTGTGAGTGAGTGAGTTGGGGTTAACTCAGCTTTTAACAGTATTCCAGTTATATCACGGCGAGTCAGCTTAATGTGGGAGGAAAGCCCGAAGTGATGCAGGTCTCAGACGTTTACCACTTCGGTGAAACCCAGGAGCACGGGTGTGGTGCTGACAAACCTAGAAACATAATCGGGGCGAACCGGGATTCGAACCCACAATCATAGGATTCTCGTGTGCCGAAGGGACGCAACTCTGCACTGCGAATCGCGGCGCCTTAGACGACTGGGCCACTCGTGCCCCCTGTCCCGGGAGAAACTAGTCAGATGAAAGGGCAGTCCTATACTGCAATGAACATTTGAAATGAAACTAATTTAGACGTAAATAACACATACGTGGTGAGGTGCTTTCTTCACAAACTCCGCACGTTAGAGGGCACTGTTCCTCTGCAAACTGTTCATACTCCACACAAGCTTTAGGCGAAGCTTCCAGGATTTTCTCACAGTCCTGTCTCCGGTCCACACAGATTGAACGATCTGAGGGCAACAACTTCACCAGTAGCAAACAACACAATTACTGAATACAGTGTAAACGATTTGATTGATCGCAAATCCCCTGAGGCGATTGTTCACCAGACTACTTCCAATAACACAGACACAAAACTTTGACAAAGATACATATTGTGTAGATTATGTCTGATTGAAAAAAAGGAATTGCTCTCTCTCCTGAAAATTCTAAATGTATATTCAATCCTGTTTCGCTAGTTCATATGTTTATGGTACAGGGTTAAAACAAGGTGTTATGTACTCACTGTCTTCCTTTGACCTTCTACAGACAAACGTAAGCTCAAATGTACAGTCTTGGTCATTCCACTGATACTGGTTAGTCTCATCATAGGATTCTATACAGTCCTGGTTGGCGTAGTTGTTGGGTTGATCTGAACGGAAGTAGTGGGTGAGTGAGTATTTAGTTATAAATAAAAGCAACACAATCCTTTCCATATTCATAAAAATCTCCACCACTGAAAGCAGGATCCATCGTACGATTCTGACTATGTCACAAGCATGTGTTTATGAATCACTATCAAATAGTGTTCGTGAAAAGGTGAGTGTATCCTGCCCAATCGGTGGCAAGCATCACAAACACAAAGGCAAGTCAATATCTCACCTTAAAAAAACACGGGAACATATGGTCAAAATAGGCAATGGCATGAGGCATTAAATTGTCAATGGTGCGTCAAATTTGGAAATGTTCTCAACAGGGGCACCATAAAACTTTTTGAAGGCTTTGCTGAGGCCTTGAATGTTGTAGCCTTGATCAAACAACTTCTGAGCAACAGTCGTATGACGCTCTTGAAATCTTGGTAAAAAGAGCATGGTTGATTGTACCTCAAAAGTTGTGAAATGTAATCACCAAGGGCTGGAGCTGCTAGAATATTGCTCGACATGAAGTGCTATTTGACTACTGGAAAGTCGTTGTCATCCCTCTTGTCATTCATTCACGTGGAGAGTGTTTTGTCACTCTGAATCTTTAAGCATAGATCTAAGTATGACTTTGCCTTTTACTTGTTTTACGCCGCACTCACCAGTACTCAAGCAGTATGAGGTCAACCTGTAAATGATGTGTTGCTGAAGACCAGTTATAATCCTGATTTTGACGGGTACATTAATTGCTAATCCGAGTAGAAATTCCGAATCATATGCATAAAGGAACTGATCCGCAAGAAGGGGAGCACCGTTTGTGCCCATGGGGATGCCTGCTTCTTGTCTAAATGACTTACCCCCAAAAATTTACGTTTTCACGTATTGTTCTTCTCACTAAACTACAGCTGACATTTGATTCATTTTTGACAAATTGTCCTGAATCCCTGAAGATAGATATGTAACTGCTCTATGGTTACCGTGCTTTGTAACGAATATTGGTCATTGCTTGATGTGTCACTTGTACAAATATCTTTGATCAATTAATATAATTCTTACATATCATGGTGATGTTATTTGGAGCCTTGCCTATGGGAGCAAGTACAACGTCTTTATGTTGGGCAGTCAGAGTTTTGATGACAGCTGGTTGGGCAGATTGGATGAATTCCAGTTCACCATTCCACCAATGACAACATCACGCACTGACCTGACTCACTCTTAAACACAATCAACACTTCCTCTTCCCCTAACGCCGCTTTGTGCAGTATTTCAGTGATATCAAAACGTGTGATGTGATCAAGACAGGAGCTTAAATTAATGTTCGTGATTTTGGAATGTACACATGAATATTATCCTTAAGATGGATAGAGATCGATTGACGTACCATTGCCCCAGTTTGTCCAGTTAAAGGGGGTACCATCAGACCATGTGAACGTCCCTTCAGTGTCAATGTCTGTACCACCAATCCAAATGTATTGCCCCTTTTCACTGAAACACACGTGCCATACCTGTTTTATGTGACGACAACATTTCATCAGTTGTATATAATCCTGTAGAAATGAACATAACCAGTGACTGTGACTCACACTTATTGCCAACTGAAGCTCGTTGGGTTTCGTATTTACAATAATGGCGGCAATATCTTCACGCTTAATAGGTTGAGCAATGGTAATCTCATGGCCAGGAAGTTATTTGACAGGAAAGGCGATTGTTCCATATTTGGTAATGTTTTACTGCTCTTCACGATATTTCTCTGAAACCCCAAACGCCATTGAGACAGACCGAGAGTTGATCCGGTATAATGTGGTTTATGACTCGGGTGAAACAACACGTCATTCCTCTCGTGTGAGAGACATCGAATTTATCTTTTTAGATAAATACAGTTATTTTCCCACGACATACACATCACAGCACCACATTTGTCATCTACAAGATCGCCAACTGATCACGACAAGATCGTCAATAAATAGCGAATATATGGTGACAACAACTGTATGGGTAATAGCCCATTGGATCAATCCTACAAGACGTATGTACAATGAAATATACTACTCAAAAGAAGTTAAGGATCACCTGATTATTTCATATTACAATAGTTAATCTCTCATGCCATGACAGATTAACATTACCAATATGAAAGAATCGGGTGATCCTTAACTTCTTTTTGAGTAGTATACCATCATACTCATCAAAGGTCAATTCTTACCGAAAGGCCGATACAAATTCTAGTTCCCCCATGTCCTTGGTCGGGGCAACTATAGCTCCCAGCGCCTGACAGTGGGACTCGGCATCAGCATAGTTCTTCTCCACATTGACGTACACGAAACAGTCGCCGTTGTAGCCAGACCAGCCACTGGGACAACCTGGAGAAGTCAGTGAATGAGTGAGTGAAAGTTGGTGTTATGCTGCGCCTCCACAGTTCAAGGTTGTGGTGAAAATGATCAAAAGCAAATTATATTTTCCACATGTTTCTTTTTGAACGCCACACTGAGAAATTTTCCAACGAGATAAAGGCAATATGTTGGCAGACCCGTGATTCCTATTTTCCAAGGATCCACGCCGCCAAGCAACCAACAAACCAATCAATCGTTCCGGTTATGTCTGTTCAAACTACATGATTTTATATTGTGGCGTGTCGATTTTTCTTAAATGACAAGTAGTTTATGTCAAGTTGCAAAGACGACTTTAAGCATCGGTGGCTTATTACGCGTTGTCGTACGTTGATGGTGTGGATAGTTGCTCATACCAGCAGTCAAGTACTGTTTGGCCCAGACTCAATTCACACATTGTACCCATGTCGGTAATCGAACCCGGATCTTCGGCGTGATGAGCGAACGCTTTAACCACTAGGCTACCCGACCGCCCCTATTTCACTATGACATTACACAGCATAGTTGGCTGACACACAGTTCTACTCACTTCCACACACATATCCTCCGGGGGACCACGTCCCGTCTGTCAAACATGTCCTGGTCAGGGTGTCCGTACCAGATTTACATTGGAACTGGACGGTATCCCCGAGGTCGTAGCTGGAGCTCAGCGTCGTCACGGGGTCAGCATCAGCAACAACGTCGGGTGCGGAGCACGTCGTCACTGGCAAACAGATATTAGATATGACGAGCATCATCTGGCCTGTCGTCTAAGGGGACACAATTCGCTTTGCATAGACAAGCATATTTGCTAGAATGTGTGTACTTGTATTCTCAAGCATATTTGCTAGACTTTGTGTGCTTGCATTATCAAGCATGTTGCTAGACTTTGTGTGCTTGCATTATCAAGCATGTTTGCTAGACTTTGTGTGCTTGCATTCTCAAGGTATTTTATAAAAGCATCAAGAATGAAAGATCTCTTTACATGGAATAGCGAGCACTTGATTTTGTAATATATTTAACAATGATGTGTATTGAATACGAGTTTCCAAATTACATGATTTTGTTGCAGTGTAATATTTGTGTTGTTATATGGCAGTGTATATTATCGTTAAACAATGCTTGTAACGGCATTACATATTTTCTGTTTTGTAGCTCATTGCATTGCATTTGGACAATGATTAGTTGTACCATTTAATGTAAGTAGTGGTGAGGAAGTTGTAGTTACTATATTTAGGTGCTAGTGCGATGTGTCAACTTTCTGAATACCGTGGATTGAAAAAGAGCACTGTAGAAAAACGTGGAATATGTTGTGGTGTGTTGACACTGTGTGGAAATTTCCAGAAGCTTGTTTGACTGCATATAAGGGGACAAGAGCGTGCCTCTCGTATCTCTGAAACATTATCAAGATCAGGTTTCGTGTGAGGATCACACATCATCTTGGATTCCCTGCCTTGGCACATCTCGGAAGCTTGACCACTGAATTATACTGACCACTGCCAACATATCATATATTGCATTGAATATTGTACTACCATTCTATTGTGTACTGCTATTGTAATTGCTGTGCAGTAATTTCAGTTGATTTGTAAACTGAGTGAGTTTAGTGATACATTTGTTTATTGTATACCATGTGTTTGTTGGTTTCACACTCAGTTCTTTTTACGCATGTTCAGGTAAATATCTATGGAGTCACAGATGTGATGCATTAACAGATAAATATCAGCAGAGTATGGCCACATACATGATTTGCATTAACAGATAAATATCAGTGGCGTACGGACACACAGGTGTGACACATGTACAGGTAAATATTACCTTGGGTTACAGGTACATTGGGCGTGTCACACGTTCTGGCACAGCCGGCCCTCGCCTTCGTCAGATCCTCACAGAAGCCTGCTTCCTTCAGTTCCGCACAGTCAGGGTAGTTGTCGAACTTGTTCTCTGGACGAGAATCACACTCGATATATCAATTTAATTAATCAGTTTTGATAGATTAATGATACAGGTGGGACATGATGCAGTATGAGATTGAAGAACAGTATCATCAGAATACATTTACCTTAATTACACAGTTGGTGGACATGCTGTTCATGTAGACTCACAGGTTCTGATATAAAGTTTGCCGAGATCACTAAACACAGGACATTATCATCTTATATATGTTTCTGAATATTTTTTATTTTCCCTGTGTTCTGGATGATATCTTCCGGTTTCAATAGTGTCTTGGCGGATGGTCTGATCTTTCAGATACGTTTCCAAAATTCTTCTCGGATAGGTATTCTCCATATCTGTGTTTGAGCACGCGCAGCTAAACAAACTAATGGTCTTCGGTATGTGTTTAGTAAGGCTTTTGTTCCGCATTTGCGCAAATACTAGTACCTACATCTGACACACATCACACTGATGGACAGACACTGGACACTCACCCAGCTGACACACATCACACTGATGGACAGACACTGGACACTCACCCAGCTGGCACACATCACAGTAGTCCCTGTCGCACTGCCCCTCGTACACTCCCGTGTAGCACCACGGCCGGAACGTGTTGTCAGGGTTACGGCAATAGTTCTCTTCCAAATTGGCATCGAAGTCACTGACAAAATTATAATGATGATGATGATGATGATGATGATGATGATGATAACAACAACGAAAATGACGAAACTTCTACTACTACCACCACTACTCCATCTACCACTGCTAACAATATTACACAAATCTACGGATCAGTGTTCATATATATTCCATCGGGTACCCATTAGCTGCTGGGGGACAAAAGGCAATGTTGAACAAGGTGACTTGCCTTATGTGGATTTATTCAGCAATATTCTAACTTTATTCGAAATGGGCTTCACACACTGTACATATGTGAGGATCGAAGCCGTACTTCACGAGCGCACCATTTAGCCACTTGGCTCCTATTCGGTTGTGACTGTAAATATTTTCATCTTCAGTTCAAAGAGAGACTGCCCTGACAGTTTTACCTTGGATTAAACAGGTGATGAGGACACGTGGTAGTTTCACGCCAAGGAAGACAGATCTTGCGATCTCGCGTGAACGAGACATTCCCGTTGTACGTGACGCCATTGTCATCCATCTTGTAGCAGTGGTTTTCGGCTGAAGAATTCAAAGGAGGAATACATGATACGAACGTTTGACTGGAAGACGTCAATGTCCTTGACATCGTTATGTTTGATGGTGTTTTGGAAACTGTAAAGTTACTTTTCCACATATCTTGTTCTTGCACTTCAATTATAGAAGTAAAGTATTGAAATAGAGATTCCGTGCATGCATTAGGCAAATGTTTGTTTGTTGTTTAAGTAAGTGGGTGAGTGAGTTGGGTTTAACACCCTTTTCAGGAATATTCCAGCAATATCCAGAGTGAGTGAGTGAGTGAGTTGGGGTTTAACGCCACTTTTAACAGTATTCCAGTTATATCATGGCGTGTCAGCTTAATGTGGGAGGAAAGCCCGAAGTGATGCAGGTATCAGACGTTTACCACTTCGGTGAAACCAACGAGCACGGGTATGGTGCTGACAAACCTAGAAACATAATTGTGGCGAACCGGGATTCGAACCCACAATCATAGGTTTCTGGCGTGCCCAAGGGACGCAGCTCTGCACAGCGAGCAATATCCAGAAATGGGCTTCACACATTGTACGAGTGTGGGGAATCGAACGCTTTAACCACGAGACTACTCCTTGTTAGATAAGCGCGCATTAGATTATATTTAAGTTATATGACGGCGGCCTGTAACGACCGAGTGACTGATATCATGAACAACGTACCACACCGTCGGGGTATGATGACACACAATAAAAGCCACCAAGACATCGACGGTATGGCTTCTTTGTAAACAGAGTACAAGCCTGCCCATCTGAGGTCGCCTCTTACGACAAGCACAGGTTGCTGGGAACGTGTTAGAGCCCTGACTTCCCACGCGGATATTTACTAGTTAGTCAGTTACTTGGGTTTTACGCCGCTTTGAACAGATGCACTTCCTATGAGTCCAACATTTGCGACAAACGACATTCTAAAATATCGTCTCCGTTACCAGAAAAACCCGATTCATCCATTATTTATTGTTATACTGATTTTCTCATATTTTGTTGGCGCGGTCGGGTAGCCTAGTGATTAAAGAGTTCGCTCGTCACGCCGAACACCCGGGTTCGATTCCCGACATGGGTAAAAAGTGTGAAGTCCATTTCTGGTGTCCCCCTGTAATATTGCTAAAAGCGGCGTAAAACCACACTCACTTACTCACTCATATTTCGTTCTTTATGCGCGCGGCTCCGTTCAACGTCTTTGCAGATTACAGAAACACAGTACAGATGACGACGGAGACACGATCGTACGTGTCATACTTCGCGGGGATTTTGGATGAGAATACTGGTCCCTGGCAACTTATTGTTGTCGTAGGATGTCGGTGGTCAGACTCGCTGACTTGGTTGACTGGGTGTCATCGTTCATAGAGGGCATGGGTCGATGGATCAGTAGTTTAACGGTCGTACTAATATGTATGGACAATTACTTGTGCGTGTTAAACAAGCAAGCAAACAAACACATAAGCAAATAAACAAACAAACAAACGTACGGGTGACCAGACTGACTCGGGCCTGGAAGCCCTTCCTCTGACCCTCGGGTGTTGTCCGCAGATTGAGAGACAGCGTGTTCCTCACAGTCCGGATAGTGCGGTGCAGGGACTCCCCACAGTATCTGTTGACGGAGGTGACAAGGTAATATATTCCTTTACAGTAATTACGGTACATCACAGTATCTGTAGACGGAGGTCATGACAAGGTAATATATTCCTTTACAGTAAATACGGTACACCACAGTATCTGTTCACGGAGGACGTGACAAGGTACATATATTCCTTTACAGTAATTACGGTACACCACAGTATCTGTAGACGGAGATGACAAGCTACATACATTCTTTACAGTAATTTTGGTTCACCACAGTATCTGTAGAAGCAGGTGACAAGGTAATATATTCCTTTACAGTAATTACGGTACACCACAGTATCTGTAGACGGAGGTGACAAGGTAATATATTCCTTCACAGTAATTACGGTACACCACAGTATCTGTAGACGGAGGTGACAAGGTAATATATTCCTTTACAGTAATTACGGTACATCACAGTATCTGTAGACGGAGGTGACAAGGTAATATATTCCTTTACAGTAATTACGGTACATCACAGTATCTGTAGACGGAGGTGACAAGGTAATATATTCCTTTACAGTAATTACGGTACATCACAGTATCTGTAGACGGAGGTGACAAGGTACATATATTCCTTTACAGTCATTACGGTACAGCACAGTATCTGTAGAAGCAGGTGACAAGGTAATATATTCCTTTACAGTAATTACGGTACACCACAGTATCTGTAGACGGAGGTGACAAGCTACATACATTCTTTACAGTCATTACGGTACAGCACAGTATCTGTAGAAGCAGGTGACAAGGTAATATATTCCTTTACAGTAATTACGGTACAGCACAGTATCTGTAGACGGAGGTGACAAGCTACATACATTCTTTACAGTAATTACGGTACAGCACAATATCTGTAGACGGACGACGTGACAAGGTAATATATTCCTTTACAGTAATTACAGTACACCACAGTATCTGTAGACGGAGGTGACAAGCTACATACATTCTTTACAGTAATAACGGTTCACCACAGTATCTGTAGATGGAGTACGTGACGAGGTACATATATTCCTTAACAGTAATTACGGTTCACCACAGTATCTGTAGATGGAGTACGTGACAAGGTAATATATTCCTTTACAGTAATTACGGTACACCTCAGAATCTGTAGATGCAGTACGTGACAAGGTAATATATTACTTTACAGTAATTACGGTACACCACAGAATCTGTAGATGGAGTACGTGACAAGGTAATATATTCCTTTACAGTAATTACGGTACAGCACAGTACATGTAGATGGAGCTGGTGATGTGGATATAGTCGGGATGAGAGGTGACAAGCCACATATATTCCTTTAAAGTAATAACGGTACATCAAGGTATTTGTAGATGATGATGTAACACAGATCCTTAATGATCAAACCTTAGGCACTGTTATTGAAACTAAATGTGATAAATACACAGAGAGTGGAAACTTATTGGCGATGTTTTGTTGTTTATTTATCGAAAGAAGACCAGTTGACTTTGTTTCGAGATCTTTTTTTTACTTTTCACCAGTGAGTTTGTTTGACGCCGCTTTTTGTAAATACTATTCAGGGCGCGTCGGCTTAAAGTGGGAGAAAAACAAAAGTGATGACGTAGTTATTGCCACGTTGTGAGTGAGTGAGTGAGTTGGGTTTAACGCTGCTTTTAACAGTATTTTAGTTACTTCACGGCGTGTCAGCTTAACGTGGGAGGAAAGCCCGAAGTGATGCAGGTCTCAGACGTTTACCACTTCGGTGAAATCCACAAGCACGGGTATGGTGCTGACAAACCCAGAAAAATAATCGGGGCGAACCGGGACTCGAACCCACAATCAAAGGTTTCTGGCATGCCCAAGGGGCGGAACACTGCACAGCGAATCGCGGCGCCTTTGACGGAATGAAAGGACAAATTACTTCCATAATCATAAGAAATCTCTATCTATTGTATCCTTTATAACATATGTTTATGAATCACGAACAAATAACGATGACCCCATTGGCGAGCATAGTGCCCAAGAACCAAGAATCATAATCAAGGAGAATCCGATCGTTGGCTCCTGGCACGCCTAAGGGACGCAACTCTGCCTAGCGCCATAAACGCCAGGGCCATCCATGCCCCCTATCGGCAATACAATGAGGAACACACCCTCCAAGGAGTTCTGTATCTTCTCGAGACAAGTGAGTTAACTGACTATAAAAGTCCAGTCTCGACCCTTGCAGAACAAGACTGGTATTATGGAGTTACATTTTGGCAACGAGTCTATGCATAGTCCAATCCAAATCGCGCACCGAAATTGAAATCCGGTTCGTAAAGTGTCATGCAGATTTCGGTCGACTGCAGGATTTGCAAAGCATGTGCATCGCTAACTCGTTGTCAACAGATATTTTCTATATCTTTTCATGTTTTTAATCAAGGTGCTCACGTGATTTGATGCACTTCGCGATGTAAGACTCGTTTGATCACAAGATAGATCTTGATTATCGATCAGATCGTCTTGACTGGGCGCCACCGTTTTGTTTGAAGCAAATGCAAGTGATACGAGAGGTTGAATCTGATTGGTCAATAGGAGGGGCATAGAAAGGACATTACTCGTTATAGCCACTGGTGGCGCTACGATCGAGTCCAGGAATTCCAGCCTAGTTCGGCAAGGACGGAAACTTGACTTTTAAAGTCAGTTAACTCTCTTGCTTCGGGAAGATGGGAGTTCTGCAGTTTGTTGGTGATAGTAACTGGCTGTATAACTTACGTGAAGGGGTTTTCCCCGAGCAGTACAGATCTAACACGGAGCTCATCCTCACATTCCGATGTTGATGAAGTAGCGATGTCGAAGTCATCAAAATTCAGCAAAATAGTTGAGTCCTCTGGCGCCTGTTTAAATCAATCATCAACATGTCGCGAATGATATGCTCATTTGATGTCATCAGACTTCATTTAAAGGAACGGGAGCCCCTTACAATCAAATACCGTTACCCTACAAACTAGTCACAACAAACAGATCAGGTTGGAGTGGGAGGAAATTTAAAGAAAAACTGTACCCAGTAACAGGAACCCTGTACAGTCAAATACCGTTACCCTACAAACTAATCACAACAACCGATCTGGTTGGAGTCGGGGAAAGCCTGGAGTGATGAAGTTTTGAGACGTTTACCAATTTGGTGAAACAAACCGACAAACCCAGAAACTTAATCAGGGCGAACCGGGATTCGCATCCACAATGTAGAAGTTTAGGGCCAAAGTGAAATAATCTGATGGACATGGAGTGAGTGAGTGAGTGAGTGAGTGAGTGAGTGAGTGAGTGAGTGGATGGGTGGGTGGGTGAGTGAGTGAGTGAGTGAGTGAGTGAGTGAGTGAGTGAGTGAGTGAGTGAGTGAGTGAGTGAGTGCCGGTTACAAACAGTATTATATTCATATTACGGCGTCAGTTGTTTCTTACCGTAAAAATCCAGAAACAGTCGAGGTTGTTTGGGTACAAGCTGGGATAGCCAGGGGATGTGATTGTCTGTGTGGGATTCTCTTTAGTCAAGGCATACAGGCCACCACAATCTGTGGAGTAGTGGAGAAAGGTATGTATATCCGCGAACACTATCATACTTCGTCCCTCAATACCGTGAGAATTCACTATTTATGGATTGAAAAATACGATTCATAGCGGAAAGGAGAAAACTCACAGCCAAAGAGTTCAATTTAGTCGTGATCGAAAGTTTAATGAAAGAACATTACAAACCTTTTACAGCAGGCACATAGTAGCAGTAAATAAACTTCTTTGCCAGCAAGCTAGGGCTATAGGCTGCCTGGCCTTCGTTGTCATCGTCAAAGTTCAGGAACTCAGGAAAGGCCAACATCCCTGCGGGAGAGTTCATCGTTGAATGTGAACCGTATAGTTTTAAGAAAACATTCATACTTTTCTAATTTGTTACTTTGATATTATGAAAACGAACAAATTCTTTGACGGTGTACTCTGTCAAAGTACAAATATTTACGGTATTCTTTTTCTTTTTATTTAAGGTCTACATTTTCATGCTCATTTCAGTGAATATGATTTCATATTTCATATGTATTTTATTGGTGGTTGCAAATAACTGTAAGATTTTGTTGGACACGACGGTTTTGAATATTAGTGTTGAAAATACAATAATAATGACAATATGTTACATAAATATAAAAGCTGACACGCAGCAAATGGAAATATTTAAGCATAAGAAGAAATTAATATGTATATTCAAAAATGGAAAGTGAAGTAATTGTAAAAATGTAGTTAATTTATGAAAATTGGGGTTCAGTGCATATTTCTTCGACTCAGTCTTGCATCTGTTTTACACAGCTGCTGCAAGCTATATTTGTTTCAAAGAAAACCCTAATTGATAATATTGAATATATTACGGTGTCACAATAAAAAGGCATCCGGTTCATCACATTGAAGTCCCATTGCCCTCCAAGAACATCGCAGACTGCATTATAGTCCTTGTAGACTGGTTCCCGTCTTCCTGTGAGCTGCGACATCTTTGCTTTTAGTAAAGCCTGATCCTACTTACAAACGTGTCCTACATTTGCCGGAAGTAAGATTAATGACCACAAAAAATAATCGGATATTTCGATACTGATTCTGTGACGTGGCAGCTCAATCACGATCATATGACGCAAAGAAACTCACAAAGATGAATCAGAAACCGTCTTACCATCAACTTCTTGACAGGTCTCGGCTTCTCCATTGTGAAGGAACAAGATGAAGGGTTCCGTGTTGGGGAGCTTGAGCGGGACAATAGGGAAGCCGTCGTCACGGCAACAGAAATCGAATCGAGTGTCTGCATCGTAAACGCCGTCGGGTAGGGATCCAGATGCGTTTGTTGCGGTTCCCGCAAGGTTGTCGTATTTGACGTATCCGCTTTCAAAACCTGGAACAGGAATAGTGGAAGTAAGATTTTTTATCATACAAGTCATAAAACCAATTAAGCCCTTATTCTAGCTTGAATAAGGCACTGTTATCACATGGAACAGTATAGGGGCGTAGGGTACATCGTTCATGATGCAGACCTCATTTAATTGAGTGCCTGACGTTTTCTGTATTGTATACAGCTTCTGATTTATGACTGCGTGTCAGCTTAATGTGAGAGGAAATCCCGAAGTTACACAAGCCTTTGACGTTTTACCTCTTTGGTAGAACCCTTGAGCACGGATGTAGTCCTTGTAGATCTAAGCAAGGGGACGAGACCCCATGATCACCGCCATACATGCACCAGATGTCTTCACTGTATATTACAAGTAGATATATACGTCACACTTACCAGTAGGACAATCTCCTTTCTTGAGTATGCAGTATCTACCGGGTCCCCATTCTGCTGTGTCAGCGTCATCACTGGTGGAACTGTCCTTCACACAGAAGTGGTACGTGTAGCTGCTGGGTGTGAACTCCCCCTTGACGTGCACGATGTCGCTCTGTGTGCTGCCCCCATCACTGGTGTGTTGTACAAAGCCGTCCAGGAATACGTCACCGGGACATCCGTCAGTAGCTGACGGCATGGCGTACGTCCCTACAGGCCATTTAGTGGGAGCGGGCACTACAGAGAAGAGAGACAGCGTGGTAATAATTCCTTAAAAACACTTACTCCCTATTCCCCTACTCACCCTGTTTTATGCCGTCTTAGCAAACACACTCGATCGTTTTATGACGTCATAGCAGCCCTTGATCTTCTACTCACCCTGTCTTATGACGTCATAGCAGCACTCTATCACAAACTCACCTGTTCTTTGACATCATAGCAGGCCTTGCCTTTCTACTCACCCTGTTTTATGACGTTACAACAAAATCCCTCCATCCCAACTAAATGTTCTATGACGTCATAGCAGAACATGCTTCCCTTCTCACTGTATGATGACGTCATGGCAACTCTTCATACTAACTGCTTTATGACGTCCTAGAAGCAACTTCAACTCACCTGTTCTTCACGTCATAGCAGGCCTTGCTTTTCTTCTCATCCTGTCTTATGACGTCACAGCAAAACCCCTCGATCCCCACTAACTGTTTTATGACGTCATAGCAGCTCTTGATTTCCTACTAACTGTTTTATGACGTCCTAGCAGCACTCTATCTCCAACTCACCTGTTCTTTCACGTCATAGCAGGCCTTGCTTTTCTTCTCATCCTGTATTATGACGTCACAGCAAAACCCCTCGATCCCAACTAACTGTTTTATGACGTCATAGCAGCTCTTGATTTCCTACTAACTGTTTTATGACGTCCTAGAAGCACTCTATCTCCAACTCACCTGTTCTTTCACGTCATAGCAGGCCTTGCTTTTCTTCTCATCCTGTCTTATGACGTCACAGCAAAACCCCTCGATGCCCACTTACTGTTTTATGACGTCATAGCAGCACTTGTTTCCCTACTCACTGTTTTATTACGTCACATCAGCCTTCAATCCTCGACTCACCCTGTTTTATGACGTCATAACAGCCCTTGCTTTCCTACTCACTGTTAAATGACGTCACAGGAGCCCTCGATCCCCTACTCACCCTGTTTTATGACGTCAGAGCAGCCCGTGGCTGGATCCAGGCCTGGTGGGCAGATACAGGCGCACGTGCTGTTGTCGATGTAGGAGACGAAGCCGTCGTTGACGCACGTCACAGCTGCCCCACTTGGACACTTCTCCTCTGAAAAACAGAACACAATTAGAACACACGACACAAGGCATCTAAATGTTGTGTTGGAAGACTCATATCACAGAGACATCATCTTGGCCATCGCATGCATTGCATTGATGGAGGCAGAATATATTTTCAGTCAGTGCTTCAAAACATACGCAATTTGATTACAGAAGCTTATAATAAATTTATTTGTATTTTCAGGTACAGATGTATATTTTCAAACTATTATATAAGTCTTCAGCTCACCAGCTGGTGCCGATCATGACCTGGAACCCCAAGGGGTGATGTGTGGACGTACCCGTGCAGCTGTAGGCGTGGGCCAGGGTGTGCCAGGAGTAGTAGACGTTGCCCCTGTTCTGCAGCATAGGCTGCAGGTCTCGGAACAACACTGTCTGCGTGTACCAGCCATTCTTGGAGAAACCCTGAAAGAATCGTAGAAGAACTATTGGTCCATGTTCTACAAAACTGTGTACACCAACATCTAGGACATGACAGTGTTGGCAAAAGGAACCAACCAATTGTTAATAGATTACCGATCTATGCAACTGTATTGGTTAAAAGAAGTATTCATTTGTTATTTGAATACCTATCTATGCCCCTGTATTAGTTAAAGAAAGCAACCATGTGTTATTGGATTAACGATCTGTGCCCCTGTATTGGTTGAAGAAAGCAACCATGTGTTATTGGATTAACGATCTGTGCCCCTGTATTAGTTAAAGAAAGCATCCATGTGTTATTGGATTAGCGATCTGTGCCCCTGTATTGGTTAAAGAAAGCAACCATGTGTTATTGGATTAGCGATCTGTGCCCCTGTATTAGTTAAAGAAAGCAACCATGTGTTATTGGATTACCGATCTATGCCTCTGTATTGGTTAAAAGAAGTATTCATTTGTTATTGGATTACTGATCTATGCCCCTGTATTAGTTAAAGAAAGCAACCATGTGTTATTGGATTAGCGATCTATGCCCCTGTATTAGTTAAAGAAAGCAACCATATGTTATTGGATTAGCGATCTGTGCCCCTGTATTAGTTAAAGAAAGCAACCATGTGTTATTGGATTAGCGATCTGTGCCCCTGTATTAGTTAAAGAAAGCAACCATGTGTTATTGGATTAGCGATCTATGCCCCTGTATTAGTTAAAGAAAGCAACCATGTGTTATTGGATTAGCGATCTATGCCCCTGTATTGGTTAAAAGAAGTATTCATTTGTTATTTGAATACCTATCTATGCCCCTGTATTAGTTAAAGAAAGCAACCATGTGTTATTGGATTAACGATCTGTGCCCCTGTATTGGTTGAAGAAAGCAACCATGTGTTATTGGATTAACGATCTGTGCCCCTGTATTAGTTAAAGAAAGCAACCATGTGTTATTGGATTAGCGATCTGTGCCCCTGTATTGGTTAAAAGAAGTATTCATTTGTTATTTGAATACCTATCTATGCCCCTGTATTAGTTAAAGAAAGCAACCATGTGTTATTGGATTAGCGATCTGTGCTCCTGTATTGGTTAAAAGAAGTATTCATTTGTGATTTGAATACCTATCTATGCCCCTGTATTAGTTAAAGAAAGCAACCATGTGTTATTGGATTAACGATCTGTGCCCCTGTATTGGTTGAAGAAAGCAACCATGTGTTATTGGATCAACGATCTGTGCCCCTGTATTAGTTAAAGAAAGCAACCATGTGTTATTGGATTAGCGATCTATGCCCCTGAATTAGTTAAAGAAAGCAACCATGTGTTATTGGATTAGCGATCTGTGCCCCTGTATTGGTTAAAAGAAGTATTCATTTGTTATTTGAATACCTATCTATGCCCCTGTATTAGTTAAAGAAAGCAACCATGTGTTATTGGATTAGCGATCTGTGCTCCTGTATTGGTTAAAAGAAGTATTCATTTGTGATTTGAATACCTATCTATGCCCCTGTATTAGTTAAAGAAAGCAACCATGTGTTATTGGATTAACGATCTGTGCCCCTGTATTGGTTGAAGAAAGCAACCATGTGTTATTGGATCAACGATCTGTGCCCCTGTATTAGTTAAAGAAAGCAACCATGTGTTATTGGATTAGCGATCTATGCCCCTGAATTAGTTAAAGAAAGCAACCATGTGTTATTGGATTAGCGATCTGTGCCCCTGTATTGGTTAAAAGAAGTATTCATTTGTTATTTGAATACCTATCTATGCCCCTGTATTAGTTAAAGAAAGCAACCATGTGTTATTGGATTAACGATCTGTGCCCCTGTATTGGTTGAAGAAAGCAACCATGTGTTATTGGATTAACGATCTGTGCCCCTGTATTAGTTAAAGAAAGCATCCATGTGTTATTGGATTAGCGATCTGTGCCCCTGTATTGGTTAAAGAAAGCAAACATGTGTTATTGGATTAGCGATCTGTGCCCCTGTATTAGTTAAAGAAAGCAACCATGTGTTATTGGATTACCGATCTATGCCTCTGTATTGGTTAAAAGAAGTATTCATTTGTTATTTGATTACCTATCTATGCCCCTGCATTAGTTAAAGAAAGCAACCATGTGTTATTGGATTACCTATCTATGCCCCTGTATTAGAACCAGAAAGCTACCATGCATTATTGGATTACTGATCTATGCCCCTGTATTAGTTAAAGAAAGCAACCATGTGTTATTGGATTAGCGATCTATGCCCCTGTATTAGTTAAAGAAAGCAACCGTATGTTATTGGATTAGCGATCTGTGCCCCTGTATTAGTTAAAGAAAGCAACCATGTGTTATTGGATTAGCGATCTGTGCCCCTGTATTAGTTAAAGAAAGCAACCATGTGTTATTGGATTAGCGATCTATGCCCCTGAATTAGTTAAAGAAAGCAACCATGTGTTATTGGATTAGCGATCTATGCCCCTGTATTATTTAAAGAAAGCAACCATGTGTTACTGGATTACCGGTCAATGTGATTATGGTTTTAGGCCGCTTTTAGAAGAATTCCAGCAATATCATGGCGTGGGACATCAGAAATTGACTTCACACATTGTACCAAGGTGGAGAATCGAACCCAGGTCTTTGGCGCTTTAACCACTAGGTTACCCCCCCGCTCCGCATTGTAGGAAGAAGAGGGAGTGAATATGCTTTTACGCCGCTTTTAGCAATATTCCAGCAATATCACGGCGGGAAACACAAAAAATGGGCTTCACAAATTGTACCCATGTCTAGAATCGAACTCGGGTCTTCTGTGTGACGAGCTAACGCTTTAACCACTAGGCTACCCGACCGCCCTTTGTAGGAAGAAGAAAAGAGTAGAGTACACATACTGTATCGTCATAATGCATGTGGCTGGTCATGTCGAATCTCAGGTCTTCATATTTGCTCGGACTTTTCTTTATGTATATTCCCCAGTTTGCTGTGGAAACCAACAAAAACAAAATCTCAACATAAATCAAGTGACGTGTAAAACATTCCTATTGCCATCCCGATGCCACAGATAAGTAAGAAACACAAATCGCAGAATGCATGGACGTTATGAAAGAGATTGCTTTCCTGGTGATAGGAAAAACATCAGTGAGTTGGGTTTAACGCCGCTTTTAACAATATTCAAGATATAATACTGCTTGTCAGCTTAATGTGGGAGGAAAGCCCGAAGTGATGCAGGTCTCAGACGTTTACCACTTCGGTGAACCCCACGAGCACGGGTATGGTGCTGATAATCTTAGAAAAATAATCGTGACGAACCGGGATTCGAACCCGGGATATCTTTTAATTGGTGATACAGGTTGAATAGTTCTGAGTGTGGCGTTAAACAATATTACCTCACTCCTCAATGGCCTCGCCATGGGAGGAAGGTGAGCTTGATATAGCAATCTGGTCCACTCGTAACAGTGACTATCACATCACAAACCTTTCACTAATGTTGTACGACAGCAATACATGCACCCAGTGTATGCCCGAACTACTTGCGGAAGGGACCCGTGAAGATCCGGGGTAGAATAGGTCTTCAGCAACCCATGCTTGCCGTTAAAGGTGACTATGCTTGTCGTAATAGGCAACTAACGGGATCGGGTGGTCAGGCTCGATGACTTGGTTGATGCATGTCATCGATCCCAATGGCGTGGATCGATGCTCATGATTTCAATCACTGAATTGTCTGGTACAGACTCGATTATTGACAGACCGCCGGCATATAGATGCAATATTGCTACGTGCGGCGTTCAACAACAAGCAAACAAACATATACTTCCGGAAGGATTGGTCGGTATGCTGTTTTCAGTGAAATCATGTGTGTAATTGAACAATAAGCAGATTGGACCAGAATTCCAACCCATTGCAACATGCACCATGTGCACTCCTTCAAAATTCATTATTTCGCATATCACTTAAATTACTCACACGAATCAACGTTTTGGAAATTGGGACGGACATATCCAACTCGCTTTGGGCTGATGTGCTCGTGAGGAAATCCAAGAGCGTGGCCCACCTCGTGCGTGCAGTAGTGCTGGAAATGTAGGGAGATGTGCCAACTACATAACCGACGGTTTACTTTCAATCTCATTACAATCAGATCTAAGTTCTCGCTGCCGCTAAACAAAGATCTGAGGACATCCCATTACGGGTCACGTCTGAACGACCTTTCGCGACATTTGACCGACCATTGAAGCGATTAACAAGAAATCGACATCAACCAGTTAGAAAGCAGCTTTCTCGAGCTTTACGGCAATCGTTTCAACCTGGCGACTTCAATTTCAGACTATGCTTGAAATATATGTCGACACAGTTCTGGATTAAAATTTTAAATACTGAACAAAGGAACATTCCAAAATTTCTAATTTATGGTTGCGATTGTATGGCAGTGCTTCCCACGTACTGTGCAACGCCTCCTCCGTTTAAAAACGAGAGATAGACGATAATTTTGCTGGAATCAGTCGTACGGGTCGTAACTGTCGTTCGGAATACCCCTTGTTAACGTTTCCGAGGTTGCATGATTAGAAAAAAATTCCGACTATCGCTTTCATGACCCGGTAAGAGACGCTTTGATTGGTCGGATGAAAGGTCGTTCTGACGTGACCCGTAATGGGATGTTCTTAGATCTTTGTTTCGCGAGAGCGAGAACTAAGATCTGATTTTAATTAAATTGGTTTATTTTATTCCTCTTGCATTTTCTCTGATTTAAGTCACTACCCTTTCCGATATGACCGTCATGTTCTGGACAACTTGTTGGCATATTTTGCGTCATGTACCGATGTGAAAAAAAAAGTTTTTCAAAGGTAACACAAAATAGTGGCGGGGTCATGAGAAACCACGCAATCAACAAAGTCAGCCAGAATGACCACCATCCAAACCATGAGTGAGTGAGTATAGTTTTACGCCGCTTTTAGCAATATTCCAGCAATATCACGGCGGGGGACACCAGAATGGGCTTCACACATTGTACCCACGTCAGGAATAGAACCCGGGTCTTCGGCGTGACGAGCGAACGCTTTAACCACAAGGCTACCCGACCGCCCCTCCGATCCATTAGGTGAGGTGAAATGGGGTTTAACGTCTCGTCCAAGATTATTGCACTTATATAGCGACGTGCATGCACGTGTATGTGTGTTTGTGTGGCTGCTTGTACTTCTCCGGACTGATTCCGATTTATAGTGCTAGCTCACTGAGATACCATGCTGCAGTTTAACATGAATACCCCACTCAGACACAGTATACTGACTCCGAGCCCACCAGTCCTTGTTTTAGCCCCTTAATGCCGAGCGCCAGACAGGGTAACAACAAGTACCATCTTTTAACGTCTTTTGGTATGACGCGGTCGGGGATCAAACCCCGGACCTTCCGCTCTCCGGGCGGACGCTCTACCACTAGACCACGGAGGCGGTCTCCGATCCATGAGCTGCCCCCATGACAACCAAAGGATGCTTGGACCATCTCTAATCTGGAATCCGAAAGATGCGGAGGCCCATACCCTGGAGCAGCAAGCGATGTTTCTGCCACCCTCGCTGGGCCCGAACCCGATATTTGACCAGCAGCTGAAGCAATGAAAGAAGAACATGTGGACCTTAAATATTTGTTCATTGTTTACTGATTTTCTTCTGACAAAAAATGCACTAAAAGAAAGGTTATAATGTATAATGATATAGAGTATAATGATTTGGTTGGTTGGTTTGTTGTTTAACGCCGCACTCAGCAATATTCCAGCTATATGGCGGCGGTCTGTAAATAATCGAGTCTGGACCAGACAATCCAGTGATTGACATAATGAGCTTCGATCCACGCAATTGGGATCGATGACATGCATCAACCAAGTCAGCGAGTCTGACCACCCGATCCCGTTAGTCGCCTTTTACGACAAGCATAGTCACCTTTTACGGCAAGCATCGGTTGCTAGATTATAATGAGAGCATATATCTGAGTGTGATATGTGTAATACCACGTACATTTATATACGTCGGTTCGAGAAGGCTTGTTCTCATTAAGCATGTGTGTAGAGACAATACTATACACAACTATAACCAATGCATGTGATCAACTATTTTTTATTTGCCTCTTGTTATTGGCCAAATCATCGAGGGAGCAATCGAAAAAAAACTATTTCCGTAAACCGAAAATTTCCAAACGTCTGACGCCCTGATCTGATTTAAATTTCTAGCAAACATAACAGTAGCCAACGAAATGACCTGAACACTTTATAGTAGCCAATGAAAATATCTTGAACTGAACAGTACCCAATGAAAATGTCTTGAACTTATTAGTAGCTGATGAAAATGTCTTCAACGTATAGCTTATCATCATAACATGCACAATCCTTGCTGATCAAGAATACGACTGGTTCCTTTGGTAAGCTGTTGCCAGTCTTGTCTTCTGCATCGAAAATAAATCGTGCATGCACGATCAATGAGAAAACCTGCTTGGCTCCATCTTACAGAGTAACCACTCCATGTTTTGAATTGCTACCTGGGCAGATATTTCGTCCCAAACAAAACTCCCAGCACCCCTCAAGGAAATATTAGCGGTTGGTTCTAAAAGTAACGCTTCGTTTGACAGGATGGGTAACGCTTGTCAGTAACACAGTGGCTACAATGTATAGTGAGCGAATGAATTGGGTATAACGCCGCTTTTAAAGGTATTCTAGGTACATCACGGCGTGTCAGCTTAATGTGGGAGGAAAGCCCGAAGTGATGCAGGTCTCAGACGTTTACCACTTTGGTGAAAATGGTGCTGACAAGCCGAGAAACATAACCGGGGCGAACCGGGATTCGAACCCATAATAATTTGAATTGGTGTACAGATAGCGTTCTTGCGTGCCCAAGGGACGCAACTCTGCGCAGCGAATCGCGGCGCCTTAGACGGTCGGGCCACCCGTGTCCCCTGCAATACATAGGACTGAGTGTGATGAATGCCTTGATACAAGTTGTATTAATACAAGTAATATTCGACATAATTTTAGTTTCGGTTACTTTTGCGGATCACGAATATAACAACGTGGTAGATCTAGATGTCGTACCCGGGGTCATTGACGTAGTTCAGATGACCCTCGTGTGATAGGTCATACGTTGCCATGGTGACGTTCTTGACCCACGGTACAAACCGGATGCAGGTGTACTTCTCGATCCGCTTGTGGGTAATGGAGATTTCATAGCGGGCGTCGTCGCCTTCAACAAAACACAATCTGTGAAATCATCACATTGTATACTTGGTTTGTTGGTTTGTTGTTTAAAGCCGCACTCAGAAATATTCCAGCTATATGACGGCGGTCATTGTATACTGACCTCGTGACCCAAGGCATCTGATATGTTAGCGCAGTGGCCGAAAACTATCTCGTCTCCAAATCAGTAAACTAAATACAGATATTTATTATCAAATAATTATGAAAATAATGTCTCTGAAGAGTATTGCTTTCTTGATCAGCCATTCTTTATTCATATGGTTTTGGCCATGTCTGGGGTAGTCAAGGATTAAATCATATTGGTTTTATTGATAATTTAAATATAAGACGTATTAATAAAGATAACCAACAGTAGTCAAGTAGTTTAAGAACTTGCTCAAAACTTTCTTTTTTTATTCTTGTATTAAGCAATATAATGTATTTGAAAATTATCTAGATTGTATTTCAGTAAGTGCCTATCGCATTGCTTTGAGTAAATTTAGATGTTCTGGTCATACTTTGCTGATTGCATAGGAAGGAAGTACAATATACCTAGAGCTAAGAGACAATGTCCAATTTGTGTAAGGCACATTATACTATTAATCATGACAATATCAACCTCATTGTAACATTGAGTAGCATATATATTTATCGCTGCAAGTAAGGAATCAACACTGTCACACGGACCAAGGCTTTCTGGTGGAAATATATTCCGTGAATGGATGTCGTTGTCGTGCCGACGTTACATACCTAGGTCGTCCATGAAGATGTACGGGACGATGCCCTTTGGCCACTGATCGTCTTCGTCCTTGGATATAAGTCGACGTGACCTTGAACCACTGCTGGATCCGGCGCTTCCACTTTCTCCCTGTAGTAAACAAACCCCAACACGGTCACGTTCAACAGTAAGTGAGTGAGTGATGTTTTACGCCATAGCCAACCATGCTTCAATCCCGAGTAGTGAGTGACTGAGTTGGGTTTAACGCCGCTTTAAACAGTATTCAAGTTACATCGGCGCGTCAGCTTAATGTGGAAGGAAAGCCCGAAGTGATGCAGGTCTCAGACGTTTACCATTTCGGTGAAACCCACGAGCACGGGTATGGTGCTGAAAAACCTAGAAACATAATCGGGGCGAGCCGGGATTCGAAACCACACTCATAGGTTTCTGGCGTACCCAAGGAACCCAACTCTGGAAAGCGAATCGCGGCGCCTTAGACGACTGGACCACCCGTGACCCTGTATGCTAAGAGAACCCGGATGACTGTCTGATCTCAACTGGCAGATATTAGAGGATGGAGCCACTCTTACAGGACTGACCAGACTGTATCATACGAAGGTTTACATTCGAGGACATATAACACACAGTAAGCAGTATTTCACCAATATCACACGCATTTTCCCAAATCGGGAATCGAACCGGGGTCTCAGTTGTGGATATAACTCACTCACTACGGCAGGTTAAGCCTCCTCGCAGAGTAAACTGACACTAACGTTGTCAGGGATTAATAAACGATCGTCGAAATACAAACCTTTTCTGAGTTCGTGTTATTGAAATGGGATGCATCCTCCGTTTCCCCGCTGGCCTCATCCGAGTTGCCTGATCCGTCGTTGTTGACGACGCCGTTAGTAACAACGACTGTGGCTGAAGACGCACTCTGGAATTAGAAACAGACTCAGGAGATGTGAAGGCCGATGCACTGCGCATAGTTTGTTTGTTTGTTTGTTGTTTAAAGCCGCACTCAGCAATATTCTATATATATGAAGACAAACCGCCGGCGTACAATGGCACATATTAAACAACGTTTCTGAACAGACCACGTCATCCATAGGGTCGTCTCTTACGAGCAGCGTAGGTTAATGGGGACCTTTAATTTTCAAGCCGGAAGTATGTAGGCCTCCTTGAGATGAGTGAGAATAGTCTCCCTTATTCGTACAGTGACAACTATGAATGAGCGGATTCTATAGGGTTTTAACATTAATAAAAGCGAAAAAATCTATTCCATATTTAAAAGAAATCTCCGTCCAAAACAGAGCCAGTTGTACAATTCCGACTCATGAGAATGCGTTTCTGAATCACTATCACATAGTGATGATCCAAGGTGTTCGTAAGGTAAGCGTATCCTGCCTCACCAGTGGCACCCGTCACAAACCCATGCAAAGGCATGTCAAGTGTTCACCTAAAAACACGGGAACATATGATACGAGTCAAAATAGGGAATTGAATCGGACATCATATATGTCACTGTTGCGTCAAATGTCGAAATGCCCTGCACATGTCGACCATACAACATTTTGAAAGCTTTACTGAGGCCTTGACAACTTCTGAGCATGGACATACACGGTGTTACTTACCGAGTAGAACGACCCCCATGGTGTTAATCACCGAGTAGAACACCCCCGCGGTGTTACTTACCGAGTAGAACGTCCCGTACGGCGTTACTTACCGAGTAGAACGAACCCCCACGGTGTTACTTGCCGAGTAGAACGACCCTCCACAATGTTACTTACCGAGCAGAACGACCCTCCACAATGTTACTTACCGAGTAGAACGTCCGCCACGGTAATGCCTATCAAACAAGTCCCCCACGGTGTTACTTACCGAGTAGAACGTCCCGTACGGCGTTACTTACCGAGTAGAACGAACCCCCACGGTGTTACTTGCCGAGTAGAACGACCCTCCACAATGTTACTTACCGAGCAGAACGACCCTCCACGGTGTTACTTACCAAGTAGAACATCCCCCACGGTAATGCCTGTCAAACAAGTCCCCCACGGTGTTACTTACCGAGTAGAACGTCCCGTACGGCGTTACTTACCGAGTAGAACGAACCCCCACGGTGTTACTTACCGAGTAGAACGACCCTCCACAATGTTACTTACCGAGCAGAACGACCCTCCACGGTGTTACTTACCGAGTAGAACATCCCCCACGGTAATGCCTGTCAAACAAGTCCCCCACGGTGTTACTTACCGAGTGGGACGTCCCGTACGGCGTTACTTACCGAGTAGAACGAACCCCCACGGTGTTACTTACCGAGTAGAACATCCCCCACGGTAATGCCTGTCAAACAAGTCCCCCACGGTGTTACTTACCGAGTGGGACGTCCCCCACGATGTTACTTACCGAGTAGGACGTCCCCCTCGCCATATACACTGCCACGCTGTTACTTACCGAGTAGGACGTCCCCCGCGGTGTTACTTACCGAGTAGGACGTCCCCCACGCTGTTACTCACCGAGTAGGACGTCCCCCACGGTGTTACTTACCGAGTAGGACGTCCCCCACGTTGTTACTTACCGAGTAGGACGTCCCCCTCGCCATAAACACTGCCACGCTGTTACTTACCGAGTAGGACGTCCCCCACGCCATAAACACTGCCACGCTGTTACTTACCGAGTAGGACGTCCCCCTCGCCATATACACTGCCACGCTGTTACTTACCGAGTAGAACGTCCCCCACGCTGTTACTTACCGAGTAGAACGACCCTCCACAATGTTACTTACCGAGTAGGACGTCCCCCACGCAATAAACACTGCTAACACCAGCCAGGTCCGCATCATCGTCTGTAGCTGTGTACACACAAAGTTTAGAAAATTATAAAATTACAAAATAATACAGTGTTGCAAAGTTTACGGATCCGTGTAAAAGTTGCTACGTGATGTTCGTATCTTTATAAACAGTATTTTGTGGGGTTATTAAAAAATGTTATAAGTTATGTCAAATTAAATTGATACTAATATGAACCTAAATATTTCATATTTATTCCCTTATATACGTGTGTGTTGACACTAACACAACTTTACTAACTCAAATAAAATAGTTTCTGCAGTCAGCTTGGGAAAGGGGGCTACTTCTATCACTAAAGGTTTACATCTGGGTCGGGTCATGCCAAAATACGTTAAAAAATGTTACTAAGGGGCTGGCATTAAGGGGCTAAAACAAGGACTGGTCGGCTCGGAGTCAGTATACTGTGTCTGAGTGGGACATTCATGTTAAACTGTGTACAAAACGTTATACCTCAATATGTAATAACCGTTGTCCACCATGGCAACATGTGGAGCTATAACAACATACCATAGTCATTCAAGCAGCTAGATCGATGTGTGTACTGTCATTGCTCATTAGAGCCTGGTGCTGTTAATGGCAACCGCCTCGACAGATGCCCAGTGACTGATCGAGTGGTAGTACATTATCCGGTGATAAATATACCCCCTCCCCCGGCACTCCCCCTCACGCCCGACAACAACGCGAGGTGAAACTGGGTTTGTTTCGCAGAATATTTATCTTCCGATTATTTGCTCTTGTAAGTTTTCTGTTTGACGTCCTTGAAATTCCCTGAATAAATCCCTGTATTTACGGACTGCCATTTGATCACGTGGAGAACAATTATATTGGCTGCGTTGTTTTATAAGAAGTCAACTGAGGCGCGAGCTAAAAAAGAATGCTAAAGCCTGTGTACAGCTAAAACATAAAGTAGTGTTCATCTTTTAATCATATTGGGGAAGTGTTTTTGTGTTAGAACAGCTTCCAGCTTCCACGGCTACTTCGGAATGGAATCTCCGTGATAGGAGATCACGTGGCCTCATCGTGTCACTCTAGTGTCCCCTGTTCTCACATATTCCTGACATAGCCATCTTCCACTCACAGAAACTACACTTGCCAAATAGTTTACTTTGATAGAATATGATCTATGTCATCATCATAGGATTTTTTTATTTTCGTTATGGATTGATGACCTCATAGTCTCGAGGCCTCTCCTCTCGTAAGATATTCGAGACAACAAAATGGAAACCTCAAGAAGTCGGCAAAAATTGGCAATTTCGTAACTGTTTGTAACTGTGAGTGAGTGAGTGAGTGAGTGAGTCACATAGCGTTTTCAAGAAGGCAGCTTGTGAAGTCAACGACCTATAGTGCAGTACTTACATCAAGTAATCAACATGAACAGATGTAATTGTCCGTTTGTTCAGACAATTAAATAATTGAAATGTAGACGCACTTTCGAGATAAAGTAAAATGGGAAATAAACAGGCGCAGCTCACTTACCTTGAAGCACAGCAAGCCAAAACAGTTAGCAAACCAAAGAACAAAGCTATATATAGCCGGTCCTTATCCTCATATCAGTTCTCTTTCCTGTTTGCACAGATCCAAATAAATAATACCGGTTTCACGGGACAGATGGTATCAGAGGACATAATATATACAGCACAAGATGAATCCTATACCAGATAGATACGCTCTATTAGTTCAGACACTCAGCACATTTCTATTCAATGGTCCCGCGTTATACACTAATTACCTCTAATAGCTTCCCTTTCCTTTCCCAGTCGCATTACTTTTGTTTAATATCACAATCGACCATTACAGTGTCTTTATGAGTATGGCTGTTGGCTGTATTGCCGTTGTACGAAGCACTTGACTTGCAGGCCTTGTATAACGTATTGCCGCGAGTGAGTGAGTGAGTATAGTTTTACGCCGCTTTTAGCAATATTCCAGCATTATCACGGCGGGGGAAACCAGAAATGGCTTCACACAATCTACCAATGTCGGAATCGAACCCGGGTCTTCGACGTGACGAGCGAACGCTTTAACCACTAGGCTACCCGAGCGACCATATTGCCGCAATGAAGTAAATTACTGGTCAAAATACATGTAGTCATGTTTGTGAAAACTGAATGTTCACAGGCACAATGTTTGTTTGTAGACAAGGCTATACCTAGATGTTTATCACTTATCAGGCATATGTATTTGAAGCAATTGACCACACTAAATATAATTCAAAAAATAATTTTCATTGCATCCACAGCAGTACATTATACATATGTCTCTTTTTAATCACCGATCTAAAGTATTTCAATGTTTAATAAACTTTTACTGCGCCTCAGAGAGCACATCTTCCATAGGCAAGAGAGTTAAATGATTTTAAAAGTCCAGTTTCCACCCTTGCCGAACTAGGCTGGAATTCCTGGGCCCGATCGTAGCGCCACCAGTGGTTATTACGAGTATGTCCCTTCTAAGTCTCTCCGCTGGACCAATCAGATTCAACCTCTCGTATCACTTGCATTTGTTTCAAACAAAATGGCGGCGCCGAGTCAGGACGATCTGATCGATAATCAAGATCTATATTGTGATAAAAGGGTCTTACATCGCGAAGTGCATCCAATCACGTGAGCACCTTGATTATAAACATGAAAATATTTGGAAAATATATGTTAGCAACGAGTTGGTGGTGCACATGCTTTGCCAATCTTGAAATCGACCGAAATCTGCATGAAAGTTTAGGACCCGGATTTCGATTTCGTTGCGCGATTTTGATTGGACTATGCATAGACTCGTTATTTTAGTCTAGCCAAAAAGTAATTCCATGATACCAGCCTAGTTAGGCAAGGATGGAAACTGGACTTTTATAGCCAGTTGACTCTCTTGCCTCGGGAAGATGCAGAGTGCATTGAGTCATACTGTTTTTCCAAAATAGATATACCATTTCCATTAACATAATTAATATCTGCCTTAAGCACTGTACGATTCCAACTGTATCATAATATGCATGTGTTTATGCATTATCATCAAATAGTGATGACACCATGTGTTCGCAAAAGGGTCAGCGTATCCTGCCCAACTGGTCACAAACACATGCAAAGGGAAGTCAATTGTTTACCTACAAACACACAGGAACATATGGTTCAAGCGAACATATCACAATCTGTTCTAATCTGTATGATAGTCTATATCAATCAGGATTAGTTGCCAGATATCATACTCTTTAATGGATCATGGTTACTTGTTTTTGTGCATACATTTATGACTCATGTTCCACTGAAAAATTAAGTTATTTTTATAATTTGGGAGGAAAGCCCGAAGTGATGCAGGTCTCAGACGTTTACCTCTTCGGTGAAACCCACGAGCACGGGTATGGTGCTGACAAACCTAGAAACATAATCGGGGCGAACCCGGATTCGAACCCACAATCATAGGTTTCTGGCGTGCCCAGGGGACGCGCCTCAGGCGGCAGGGCCAACCGTGCTCTCCGTCTGGTAGTAACATTTCACGGTTATCCTGTTACTTGGATGAACAAATAATTTAGAGGCTTCTTCAACTTTAATATGAACTCCGGTACAACAAAAGGAATGACTGCACCTGACGAGGCCAACAAGGGCCATTGGACTTGACCCCTCAGGGCTCGGATCCTGGACAAGATTAATCATTTGTATAATATTCAGCCGGATATCCATTGGGGGAAATGTTTTAATGAACCGCGGGTATTGGTCAATTATTTTGATAACTGGTACAAATACCCACTTGTTCCAGCTCGATATGATTATCAGTAATCTAATCACTGATGGGTCGCGCGACATATGTGTTGTAGCAGAACATGTGCATTGTTATCGGCGATTAAATACTGATCGGCGATACGGGGCCTATTTCCGTTATATTTACCAATGGGCGATGCCTAGATTCGCGGAATGCATGCTATTTTTTTTATTAATACATGCTTTTGATATAGTTTGAATCGTAAACCATTGTGAAAAAGATTATCAAAATAGTTTGGCAAAGTTAAAAAGAATCACGCATTTATACTTTATCTTCAAAGATTAAGTATGTGTGAATTTAATTGTGCTTTTTAAGTTTGTGCATTCTACAAATGGCGCCATCACGCACTCAATTATTAAGAGGGGGCACGGGTGGCCAAATCGTCTAAGGCGCCGCGATTCGCTCTGCAGAGTTGCGTCCCTTGGGTACGCCAGAAACCTATGATTGTGAGTTCGAATCCCGGTTCGCCCCGATTATGTTTCTAGGTTTGTCAGCACCATGCCCGTGCTCGTGGGTTTCACCGAAGTGGTAAACGTCTGAGATCTGCATCACTTCGGGTTTCCTCTCACATCAAGCTGACACGCCGCGATATAACTGGAATACTGTTAAAAGTGGCGTTAAACCCAACTCACTCACTCACTTATTAAGACAAGCAACATGTTCCCCTTCTCTTTGGTCCATTGTGTGGCATATGCTTTGACAGCATCCATAATGATTGTATAGTTATAGCTGCCGACGATATTGTTGTCTATATTTGAATAACGACGAAGGTTGTTATCGTCAGTAATAGAAAAGACACATGTTCTTATATGAGCAGTTGGCAGTCGAGTTGTTCAACACGTTTTCTATAACTGAACATTCTGGCTGAAATGGTGTTCGTATAGGAACATGAAATTGTTGGTGGTTCCTAATATTTGAAATATTGTCGGACATTTTGGGAAACTGTTTTTCTGCTTGGAATGTTACTTAAATTTAAAGGCATCAATTCTCTTATTTGCAAATTTCAAATTCAAGAACATGTATTCGTTGATTTAGTGGAGACTGTTGATGGTTTGGTCAAACGTTATCAATATGAGTACCAATGCAATATCAAGTATTATACTCTCAAATCGAGAATTGATTCGCCTGTGCCTTTGAATATGTAAATATATGTGATAATGCAGTTTGTACCAATCAAAACTGCGATGAGTGAGTGAGTGAGTGAGTGATCATTACTTAACTCCGCATCAACAATAATGCCGCTATGCACAGA